ACTTGCTGCCATCCCCTGTCCTGGGAGGCAGCAGCACCCAGAGCCAGGCAGGCTGGGTGCAGGGCACAGCGGTGCCAGCCGGGCACCCCAGAGCCAGGCAGGCTGGGTGCAGGGCACAGCAGTGCCACCACGGCTGCCAGCCGGGCACCCCCAGCCCACGCTCGGCTGGGTGCAGGGCACAGCAGTGCCAGCTGGGCACCCCCAGCCCACGCTCGGCTGGTTCAGCTCCAGCACTGTACATCCATAACCTCAGCCCGAGCACAGGCACTGCCCGCTCCCGCTGGCTTTGGCAGGAATAAATCCACCTGGCACCACTGGGCTGGGACAATGTGCTTGGAGTGTGCTGTCACAGGGCCAGGAGCAGCTGGACCCAAAGCCACCAGCACACAGCAAAAGGGAAGGGGTGGCTGCACACACGGCTTGTCCCCAAAAGCCCTGTGAGCAGTGTATAACTCCTTACAGGAAACAATCATTTACACAATTCCCATGGACTTCAGTTGCCACGCCAGGGAGGAGGGAAGGCATTAGTCATGCACTAGCAGATGTTTTGTCTTATGTAAGACTAAATTTTTTCTTTCTGTTAAGAAAAAGGCTGCATCTCACCCTAGAGCCTTCTGAGAGCCTCCTCTCCCTCAGCCGTCGCCACGGCCTCAGAAGCTCAGCACTGCCCTGCTCTGTAGCACAGCTCTGCCAGCTTCAGCACTTCCCCAGTCACTGCTAAATATATTATTTTTATAAAGGCTGTCTTGAAAGGGGTAAAAAAAATGGATGCAGCACCAGTGTAGAGACAGAAATGCAAGAGAAGCTTCGTTTAGTGTCCAGCAGCAGCAGGCAGGGGTGGGTAACTCAGCCAAGGACAGTATTTCTTGTCAGCTGGGACTCACCCAGGAGCTTTGAGTGGGCTGGGAAGGTTTGGGCTGAGCAGCAGTGCTGACAGCCCTTTCTGGGCGAGTCCCAGGGAGCCCCGGCTCTGGCCAGGCTGCAGAGCCTGCCCAGCCCATCCATCCATCCCTCGCTGCAGCAGCTCCTGGGACAGCAGCCAGAGCTCTGCTCCAGCCCCAGCCAGGCTCCTGCTCACCCAAACCCCCGGGGCCCGGCAGCTGAGCACCTTAATGGAGAAATTTATCCTCGTTAGGCAGAACCAGACACCTCTGCGTGGCCAGAGATGGTCTCACGCTGACGGGGCTGGGGTGGAATTAGGAGCTGTCCGAGGGTGCCTGGCCTTTGGATGCTGGCAGGAGGCTGTTATTAGATTTAAAGGCCTGGGATGAGCTTTGCTCTTGAGCTGAAGCTTCATTTCCAGCACACAAACCTCCAGGGATTGTGCACCATCAAAGACCCCAAGCCCAAGTCTCTGGAAGGTTCCTGGGGAGGGAAGAGGCTTCTCTGTGGAGCAGAGCAAGGCTGGTTTACCTGCAATGCTTATGCTGATCTGACACATCAGATATTTAAAATCCAAATTATGCTTTTATCTCATGAAACACTTAAACCAAACTGTTTCAAGAGCTGCTGTTGAAGGAAGGGCTCCACTCCAAGGACATGGGGACACTGTGCTGGAGCAGGGGCAAGAACATTCAAAGGAAAACACTAAAACTGAAAGCAAGCTCAGAATGCACCAAACCACAGCAGCACTGGCTGGTGCCAGCACTGTCCCTCCCAGGCTGATGAGCTGTCCCTGGGCAGGGCCAGGGGAGCTGACAGCTGACAAACACTTCTCCAGCTTCAAGAATCAGCCTCATCTGGCAAGTCTTTTCTCCTCTGCACAGGAAATCAGACATGTGCTTGCAGAGAACACACGCACACAGAAAAGCTCTGCCACGTGCCTGGGGCTGCTCCTGCTGCCCTGCCCCGGGGGCTGAGCTGCTGGGCAGCCCCAGACACCGAGGGTGCCACGGGCAGAGGGGATCAGGCAGGAAAAAGGGCCCTAAATGGCCCAGCGTGGGCATGGTCCAGCCACAAGCAATGAGGGTGCAATAAATCGACCCTTAGCAGCTAACAGCCACCCTCAGCAACAAAGCCAACGTAACAGAGCATCTCTCAAATGTTCACAACAGCAGGGAACCCTGGGCAGGTCAGAGCTGCTGCCCAAAGGGATCTGCAGCCACACCTGAGCTGGAACAGCAGCAGGGGCTGTAAAATCCCTCTGAATGGGATGCTGGGGTCAGCCACCACCTCAGGTGGCCCAGACCATCCCACACGGCCCTGGCTCCCAGAGGGAAGGAATGGCCCTCCCTGGGCTCCACGCTGGCTCCCTGGCATGGCTGTGCACGGATGCCAGGTCCAGGGCAGAGCCAGGCCAGGGCAGAGCCAGGCCAGGGCAGAGCCAGGCCCAGGGCAGAGCCAGGCCAGGGCAGAGCCAGGCCAGGGCAGAGCCAGGCCCAGGGCAGAGCCAGGCCAGGGCAGAGCCAGGCCCAGGGCAGAGCCAGGCCAGGGCAGAGCCAGGCCCAGGGCAGAGCCAGGCCAGGGCAGAGCCAGGCCAGGGCAGAGCCAGGCCAGGGCAGAGCCAGGCCCAGGGCAGTCACACGCAGAGGCTACAGGAGGGACAGGGCAGCCGTGCTCAGCCTCTGCCGTGAGCTCACAGCAGGCTCTGGGTACCCACAGCACAGGGCTCTGTTTTAGTGTTAAACATCAATGGAAAATCCTTACCTCATTTGCTAAAAGCACTTTAATGTCTTTGCACATGAAAAAAATTACTAAAATGTATTAGCAATTTGGATTATTTGATTCAGTCAGCAGGACTCAGAGCAATTGTTTCACTTTGAGTCCAGGTTCAAAGCACTAATCACTAAGTTCAGCATAATTTCCTTTACATTTCATTTCTTTGTCATTTTTTCATTCATTAGCTGAGTGTGACAGGTGCCAGCGTGCCCTTAGGTGCCCCTGGGGCCACACAGAGCGAGTGGCTCTTGGATCCATCCACGCTGAGCTGCTGACCCAGTCCAGGTTAAAGGCAAGTCACCCACAGGCCATTCCTCGGCAGTAAACCACCCCAGAGATGAGGGGAGGAAGCAGAGAGCTCCTTCCATCACCTCGGAGGTTCCAGAGCCCAGGGAGGTGCTGGCGAGGCAGAGGCAAAGCCCAGCCCTGCCACTCTCCAGCTCTGCCCTGCTCCAGAGCCAGCAGCAAGGGCTGTGCTCGCTCTCCTGGCCAGCAGCTGCCAGCCGCCCCTCTCAGCCAGCCAGCTCTCAGCTCTCTCTGCGCTGCATCGAAGCAGTTTTTCATTTGAGGAAATTCCCTGTCCTCATCCCTCCTCCCTCATCCCGGGACGGGAGGAGCCTGGGCCCCGTTCGGTCTGGGCGAGGTCCGTGACACCGCGCTGGGCTCTGCAGCATCCCGCAGCACCCCGCAGCATCCCTCAGCATCCCTCAGCACCCCGCAGCACCCCGCAGCATCCCTCAGCATCCCTCAGCATCCCGCAGCATCCCGCAGCACCCCGCAGCATCCCGCAGCATCCCCCCGCAGCATCCCGCAGCATCCCGCAGCATCCCGCAGCATCCCCGCGGTGGCAGCATCCCGCAGCACCCCGCAGCATCCCTCAGCATCCCTCAGCATCCCGCAGCACCCCGCAGCACCCCGCAGCATCCCGCAGCACCCCGCAGCACCCCGCAGCATCCCTCAGCATCCCTCAGCATCCCGCAGCACCCCGCAGCACCCCGCAGCATCCCGCAGCATCCCCGCGGTGGCAGCACGCCGCTGAGCCGCAGCTCCCAGCTCCGGGCACCAGGGAGTGTCCCCACACACTCAGCAGCGCAAAGGGATTCCTGACTTCAAAGAAAACCAACACACCGCAAACCAGCACTCCGCAAAGGTCATCTAAATGCAAATGCTGCATTCGGCCCGCAGAAATTAATAATTACATCCCATTTATTGTTCACACTTAGAGTTAATGATTATTACACCTCACCCGAGTAACTGGACCCTGTGGAGAGAATCAGGTTTTAATTTCAGTTCAGGCAGTCAGTGGCAGCCCGCGCAGCGCTTTTGCCTGGAGGGAAGGGAGAAGGGAAACTGAAAAGGAAAAGAGGAAAAGGGGGGGAAAAAAGAGGAAAATGGCAAAAAAAGAGAAAAAGGGGGAAAAAGGGGAAAAGGGGGGAAAAGGGGGAAAACGGAGCTGTGTCCGGTTCCCCCTCCCCGCTCGGCCCGGCCGGGCGCGGGGCGCTGCTGCCCCCTGCTGGCGGCGGGCGGGCACTGCGGGGACACGGCGGGACGAGCGGGGCGCACACCTTGCACACACCTGGGGCACACCTGGTACACCGGGGGCACACCTGGGGCACACCTGGGGCACCTGGGGCACACCTGGGGCACACCTGGCACACCTGGGGCACACCTGGGATACAGCTGGCACACCTGGGGCACACCTGGGGCACACCAGGTACACCTGGGGCACACCTGGGGCACCTGGGTCACACCTGAGGCACACCTGGTACACCTTGCACACACCTGGCACACACCTGATACACCTGGCACACCTGGGGCACACCTAGCACTCATTTGCACACCTGGGGTGCACCTTGCACACACCTTGCACACACCTGGCACACACCTGGCACACCCTGCACACATCTGGCACACACCTGGCACACCTTGCACGCCTGGCCCACACCCTGCAGAGGCCTCACAATTGTCGCACACGGCTGGCACCCTCCAGGCCCTGGCCAAACCCCGCTCCCCCACACCGCCCGCTGCCCAGGGACCTGCTGGAGCCACCCCCGGGCCTCCCCCCAGGACGCTCCCGCGGTGGGTCCCAGGCCATGTCAGAACCGGACCTGCTGCTGCCAGCTGCTCTCGGCGTGGAGGAGAGGGTGGTGGGTGGCGGGTGGTGAGTGGTGACCGGAGCCCCCCCTGCATTCACCTCCCCTGAGGCTGAGCTCATTAACCGTATTTAAGGAGAGGTAATTAAGGACGGGGTCCTTCAAGCAGGTCGATGCTGTGGGGTGCAGGAGGGTGTGGGGAGGAAGAACAGGCAAGAGGCAGAAAATGTTCTGAAACCACAGACAACGTTTTTGAGAAAAGTTAAGCAATTTATTCAACAGGATGAGTCCACACCCAACCAGTGGCTTCATCTACATGGCATCACCAGCACACACGAGGACCCACTCAGACACTCTAGCTGACGGCATCTCACCATACGTTACAGAGACAACACCAGAGGAGGAAGAGGAGGAGGAGGATGGCCGGTACGGCGAGCAGCAGCCGGCGGCTTCCCACGGCCTCCGGGCACAACCAACCCCGTCCCCACCAGACCTCGCAGCCCAGCCACGCAAAGCAAATCAGACTCGGGACATGTACTGCCGCCCCGCGAGAACCACAACACTGCTAGGCAAATAACATACCTGGGATACAGAAACCACCTACCAGGGACTTCAGCCGAGGGAAATGAGTGCAGCCCTGGCCGCCCCAGCTCCGCGCTCAGGCGCTGAGGCTCTGCCCAGGGCAGGGTGGGGTGCCAGCACGCTCCCTCAGCCCCACGGCAGGGCCACGGCCAGGATGGATGGGGCAGGGCCACGGTGTCACCGTGCTCCTCTCAGCCCCATGGCTGGGATGGATGGCAGGGCCACAGTGTCACCGCGCTCCTCTCAGCCCCATGGCAGGGCCGTGGCCATGGCCGGGATGGATGGGAGAGGACCACAGTGACCCCATGCTCCCCTCAGCCCCGTGGCAGGGCCGTGGCCATGGCCAGGATGGGTGGGTTGGCATGGGAGCCGAGCCGAGAGCAACCCTCGCTCTGCACAGCAGAGACACGGCTGCCCTGAGCCGCCCTGCGCCGCCCTGCGCTGCCCTGCGCTGCCACAGCCCGGGGCACAGCTCACCCACCCACCCACCCACCCTGGCTGGCGGCAGCTCGGCCGTGGGCTGCCACAGTGAATTTCTGTGAACTCTGAGGCCCACACGCCGTCCGTGCCCTCAGGCGGGTACCGAGGATCGGAGTCACTCGCAAACCATGAGCGAGTTCCAGTTATGATACTCCTACAACAAATGTGGTTCAATTTTGTGCCAAGTTCGCTTACAGAAAAATACATTTCTTCCCTTAAATTTACAGTAGTTAAAACTACACTTGGAATACCATATTACAAAGGGGGAGTTTATTCTCCAACAAATAGTCTTGGTTCCCTTTTCATTAAACAGAAAAATGGAAGGATTTTAAAAGCAATCACCCCCAGCACAACACAACTGCCCAGACGAACCCATGTGTGCACAGCCCCCAGGCCTGAACTCCAACTGTTTGTTTTGGTGCTCAAAAAGGCACTTAAAGATAAGAAAACAATTGTATTAAAAACCCACAACAAAACAAAACGAAGAAAAATGAAAGGCAATAATTTAATAGAAAGACACTGGGATTTGTACCATATGGTCAAAAGTAAGAGAGGAAATAAAACCCCTAATGAAGATGAGTTTGCTCTCAAGTCATCTCAGAAAGCATACAAAAAACAGAAAACTGGCAAAGTGAATGTTCTCCAGGAACTAAATGGAAACAAAAGTAATAATTACTGGCAATGGACACACAGCACTCGTGCCAAATGGGTCCTTCCCCCCAGCACAGGTCCCTGACCAGCCCGGCCCGGTGAACATCTGCAGCCGCCGGGCCGGGCAGGGCCAGGGGCTGTGCCGGGAGCGGGGATGATGGAGAAATAAACACCAACGTGAACCAAACGCCAAGGACGGTCACAGACAAGCACACACACCGTCTGCCCTGCCAGGCTGGCAGGGAGGGACACGGGCAGAGCTGCTCCCCACGGGCTCTGCGAGGGGCGCCGGCGGCTTCGCTTCCCTTCGGGATTACTATTATTATTACTGGGTTTATTTTTACATTGAGCTACCTACTAAGTGCAAAGATTTGTTGAGTGGCATTGGCTTTATCTAATTGTAGCCTATTTTTGTACAGTTTACAGGTTAACAGTTATTTTCGAGCAGTTAAGCAAGTACAGCAATATTTACAGGGCTGGCAGAGCGGGGCGAGAGGGGACGCGTGCGAGGGGCACGGGACGGGCACCAGCCGCCCCACAGCCTGCAGCAGCCAGCAGCGGCCTGCAGCGTCAGCTCCGTGCCCAGGCGCAGCTGTGGGGGTTCAGTTATGGGGGTGCAGCTGTGGGGGTGCAGCTGCGCAGGTACAGAGGTGCAGGTATGAATGCACAGGTACAGAGGTGCAGGTATGAATGCACAGGTGCAGAGGTGCAGGTATGAATGCACAGGTACAGAGGTGCAGGTATGAATGCACAGGTGCAGAGGTGCAGGTATGAATGCACAGGTGCAGAGGTGCAGGTATGAATGCACAGGTACAGAGGTGCAGGTATGAATGCACAGGTGCAGAGGTGCAGGTATGAATGCACAGGTACAGAGGTGCAGGTATGAATGCACAGGCGCACCTGGGAGCGCCCCAGCCGAGCACAGGAGCCACGGCAGGACTGACGGGTTCTGCCACCCTGCCCAGTGCCTCTGCTGCCTTCTGACATCAGGCTGCTCCTGCTGCAGCAGTGCTGGGGCGATGAGGAAGATGAAGGGGGGACAAAGCAAAGCCCCGGGCAGGGTAAGTGGCCGCTGGGTGAGTCAGGAGGGCTTTGCAGGCGTCTTCACCCAGGCCCAGAGCAGCAGGATGGCAGGGAGGAAGGATGAATGTTAGGAGACATTAGCAGGTGACCATGGGGAAGTGCCAAATCAAACCATGGGGCATTGCATGGAAATCTGTACAAGGAAAAGCTGCAGGAGAAGCACGGAGCATCTCGGATTCAGTGCTTACAGAGGAGTCTGGATTATCACACAGGACCATGCAATCCCCAGCCTTCTGCATATTTTTTTCTCTAGGTAAAACAAAATGTAGATTCCTTTGCATAAACTCAAACTGTTGTATTATATGGTACAGTACAGAAAGTGCAAAGTATCACCCATCAGATCAGTTTTGCATCTGATGCAGTCAAACACGGCTCATGCTTCTCATGCAGGACAACCACTGTGACCTGAGACCCCTCCTCACTGCTCAGGCCTGACTCTCAAGAGACCATAGGTTGGGTTTTGATTTAAAAAAAATTAAAAAAAAAAAGGAAAAAGCATGTGGGGAAAGGGAGATGAAGAATCTCCAAACTCTGTAAGTTACTCCATGCTTTACCACAGGTTTGGTCACCAGTCCTTGCTCACTCTGAGAAGTTGCAGAGAAGCAGCGTTCCACAGTCCCAGTGCAGCGTCCTCCTCCTGCACGAGGGTGATGGCACACACCTCACTCTGTCCCACTCGTGACACTCACTTCACTCCATTCCCATCCATGGCACACACCTTGCTTCGTCCCTGCTGCCAGGGCACCACGGGCACATGAAGAGACATCTCAGGATTCGGGATTGGAAAGACTCCAGCTGGCCGGTCAGACACAGTCATGTGTGGATTTCCAGCTCTTCTCCAAAGCCCAGCAGTGAACAGACCCCGCTGTATTCCCACCCCTTTTCTTTTTTCAATGCCAAGAGGTACAGAAAATAAATTCCAGGATGGCCTTGTATTGCTTGACGCATAGCTGCTGCAGCGTGAGCTTCCAGGTGCACACAGACAGCCTTGGAAACCCAGACCAACCCACTGTCTCAAGAGAGGACATTTCAGAGCCAGTTTCTGAGGTAAATCTACTGTTTTAAAAAGTCACTGAATTCTGTACACTTTGTTTTTAATATATACTTCTACACCGAGTGCGTTCTCCAGTGCCAACACGTAGACCTGCCGTCTCCTCCTGCTGTAGGACTGCAAGCTCGGGAAGTGTTTCTGCATGGATGGGGTGTGTGCACACCTATGTACATACACACGCACGCACGTACAGCCCCAGGCCCCACTCGTGTTTCCTTCACAGAGGCTCCCCACGTGGGCTCTGACCCCTGCCCACCCAGCGGGGCTGTGCCGTGCCCGCTCCCGGCGCCGCTCTCCGGCCGCAGCCCCGGCCTACATGGTGCCCGACTTGTCTGCCGAGCTGCTGGGGAACAGCTTCTCGGTGGGGGTGACGGCGGGGCTGCCCACGCCCGAGCTGCTGCTGCTGCTGGAGCGGTGCTGCACCACCGGCCGCACCGGCCGCATGGGCGGCGGCCGCAGCTGCGCCCCGGCCAGCCGGGCCGACAGCGCCGGCTTGAAGGTGGTCATCATCTCGGCCGTGGAGCTGCTGCTGCGCCGCATGGCCGCCTCGGGGTCCCGGATCAGGATGGTGTGCAGCGGGCTGGCCGGCTCCGAGTTGGCGGCGCCCAGCGGAGGGTTCTTCATGGGCTCCAGCGTGTCCAGGACCACGTCGGGCGCCTGCTTGGCCGTGTTCTGCCTCTCCAGCTCCCGCAGCTCGTTCAGCGCTGTGCTCATCGTCTTCTCGATGTCCTGCAATGCCAAAGCAACGTCAGCGCTGTGCCACGGCACCGCCTGCCCTCCTGCGCTCCACCCCACACCCTGGCACGCCTGTCTGCAGAGGGGGGCTCTGATCTCAGAGCTCCCAAGGAAAACGGGAGCTTTGGGAGAGGGTGTGAAGCCCAAACTGGCCGCACAAAGGTGTCCTGTGCTCCCCAGGTCAGCAGGAGCTTGGTCACCAGCTCCACAGGGCACGACTCCGGAGCACCAGGAGCGGTGGGCGAACACCAGCCTGCCCACACAGTTCCCCACAGCACTGAGGCTGGTTTCTCCTCACAGAAGAGGCCCTGCAGTCTCCACTGGATGCATGGGGCCTCTGCTGCCCCTGTGCCCACAGGACAATGGCATGTGGCAGGGACACACACGGATGTTTATGGAGCGAGTGGCACAACAGCAGCTCGCCATGGATACAGGAGAGGCAGCAACAAGGCCTGAGGCAGCCGGGGAGAGACTGGCTCCAGCCCTCACTGCCCACCCACCTCCAGGCTCCACAGGGATCCCCAGAAGGTGAACCCAGTTCAACCAGAAGTGCCCATGCACAGGGAACTAGCTACTGCCTATGGCTGCAGTGCTGGGGTCTCCTGTACAAATGGAGAGGCCCTAGTTGGCCTTTGCTTAAATCCACCTTAACTTAATTAAGCAAGACCATTGGAGAAGCAATTTAAGGCACCAGAGTAAATTGTTTGAAAAGTCACCCTAGTTAATGCTGTCCTGGTGTAGACAAGTCCTTAATTTTATAATGCCTACAAAATGCTCAGTGAGCCTCAGGTAACATTCAAAGGATCAGCTGAAGGGAAGTAACTATCAAGCTAGCTCCAATTCATCCTGTTAAGCTCCTAAGATGATGAGTGAAAATATTCTCCCAGAGAAGCCTCAGGACACCCAAACCCAGCAATGCCACAAACTTCAAGGTGAAAATGATCATCATCTGAGTGAGCATCTTTTCCAAGGACAACCCACCACAGTTGGGTGTGACAGGGGCACTGTAACTGTGTCTGAGGTGAAGGGGCTCCAGGCACTCCCTCTTGGTCCCCTTCCAGCCCTCTCACCTCAGCAAGAGCTTCTGCTTCCAGGGATTTCTGATCCCCGAGGCTGCTGTGCCGGGTGGACCCGCAGGTGGATCTCAGTGGGTGGCTGTCCGCCAGGCCCTTCCTGTCTGGGAAGTTGATGCTGCCCGCGCTGCCGAACGTCGCCATCCTGCGCTTCTCGGGACTCTCGATCCTGCCCCTGTTGAGGGGGATCTTGTGGGGGCTGCTGGGGCAGGCTGCTGCTCGAGGAGGGGTGTCCATGCCAGGCCCCATCCCGCGGGGCGGGCTGTGGGTGTCCCCCCCGCTGCGGCGCCGGGGGATGGCCGCGCCATCGGACCTCAATCTCACCCTGCAAAGAACCAGCACGGCGCCAGGTCAGCGTCTGCCAGCCCCACCACGGCTGGCCACATGCTGCAAGGCAACTGCTCAGCCCTGAGCTCAGCTCAGACCGAATTCCAGCCTTCCAGCTGCAGGAGACTCGGGCAAGAGAGAAGACAAATATTTCAGCCAGTACCAAGAAAGGGACAGCATCAAATCATAAGAGTAGTTTGGGTTGGAAGGGACCTCAAAGGTCATCTTGTTTCAACCCCCTGGGCAGGGACCCTTCCACTATCCCAGGTTGCTCAGGGCCCCTGTATCCTCTGTAAATGATAAATCCCCATCAGCAGTGCACATGAAATCCCCTCCAAGCTCCTATTACCCTGCAGTGCTTACTAGAGCTTTCCCTCCCATCGTGCCCCACCCCCCACACCGACTGCCCACACCTGTGACAGCGACACCTCCGTGGCCACAGGAATGTGAGTTACCTGCCCATCACTCCCCCAAAGCCATAGTCCATGATGTGGTCAGTCGGTGACTGGATGTCGTTCTTGGAGGAGGCTTTATCGTCCAGCAGCGGCCCGCTGCTCGCCTCGCTGTCCGCCTTCTGGCTCAGGCTGTCGGAGAACGCATCGTCCCTGGGGAGAGCACAGCACAGCAGTGACAGGGCTGTGCCCCGGGGCAGCCACGCCAATCTGAACATCACCACGTCAGCAGCTCCACACTGCAAACTGGAGCTGCACCACGGCCACCGCTTCACTGGGAACGTGGAAACGGCGCGCACCTGCCTTCCCATCCCCGGTAATGGGCACTGGGATGACTCCAGATACAGCACTTGTAAGAGAAGCAGCACTTGCAAAGGGCCCTGGGATCTGCCCACAGGCCAGGTGAGCACTGAACAATCCAGGTCAGTGCTCACAGGGACAAGGCTGGTGGCAAGCCTAGGTCACACCACGCTGGGGAGTCAGTGAGAGATGGGGTCCAGGTACACTGAGGTACAGTGTTCAGTACTGGTCTTTATCAGCCCAAACGGGAAACAAATGGAGTCAATACACAGAGAAGGAGAAGTGAACAGGTGCAGATTTCTCACCAAAGTCATTAAACAAACTGCAAAACCGACTGATTATTTCAGGTGACTGAAGTGGACCTTGTGCAAGTACGTGATTTTAACAACCCTCACTTTACTCACATGTCTTGCACCACGATGTACTGGTGGGGAATGAGCCCGTCCACCCCGTTGTGTCTCCCTTCCCACCAGTCCTCCGACGCCCGATGGTACAGCAGGAGCGAGGCCCCTTTCTTGAAGGAGAGCTCCCGTGGGGATCGGCCAATGTAGTCAAACTTGGCTATGGCTTCAATCTGCTCCACCTCTGCACAGGAGAGAGGCACAGGAGAGCAGCTCAGCTCAGGCACACAGGGGAGGCTGAGCCCTGCAGAGCCACCTCACCAGAGCAACTCACACCGAGCACAAGCCTTCTTGTCTTCAGACTGATCAGCTCTTATTGTTGTCCCAGCCTTTCTGGGACCTCTCTCAGACTCACAAACTACCGACAATTACAAACAGCTACAAAGCAGATGGGGAGCAGCAGGAATCTCCCTCTGTGCACATGGCACCCTCACCCACATTCTCATTTTCTGCCTTTGCTTACAGAAACCCATTATCCTCCAGCCTGAGATTTTGTCAAGCCGTGTCAGATGCTGTGATCAAACCCCACTTACCTTCTCCTCCCTCCCTTATCCTGGAGACAGTTTGGCCTGAATTATTGATGAGCAACTAATGCCCCTTTGGGGATCCCCATGGAAATAATGATACCAGCTCCAGCCAGGCAGCTGCTCTGCACCCCGCCATCTGCAGCACTCTGCCTCACTGTTTCCCCACTTTTCCTAATGTGAGCTCTACCAAGCGCCCGTGACTCACAAACTGGGAGCTCAGGGCCTGAAATACAGGAGGGCTGAGGCAGAACTTCACTTTGGAAGGTCACGAGCACACCAGGGTCCTCTAAGCCTCTAGCCCAGGGTGTCACAGCACGAGCTGCTGGAGCAGCCAATGGCACTGAGGAGCCTGTGAAAGAGCCTGGCTCCTATGCAGATCTGTTTCCAGCTGGGGAACACTGAATCCTAAAGAAACCATTGCAACAACTGCAAAGCAGCAACAGTGCCTCCCTCATTTACCAAAGTGACCCACGCTGTGCGTTGCTTGTGTGGCTGCCACTCCCCAGCCACCCCTGCCGCTGCTGGAGCATTAGCACACCTGGATTATCTGGGACAGAGGATTATTTCAATCCCCACCTGGAGACTGGCAGACAGAAAATGACAGCAGAACAGGGCAAACCCCCCCAGTTCCTCTGGATCTGCGCCATTCTCATTAAATGTGGAAACTTGCCCTGCCCCATCACTGACTGTGGGTTCAGCAGCCATCAGTGCATGACCTGACACTCTGCTCAGGAAACAAACCCTCGTGGAGGAGGGGACACCAAAGCAGGACATGGAGGATGCTGCATCGGACCCTTGCCCCATTCCGCCCCACCTGGGACAGACCAGGCACTCAGCAGATTCATGTTCCCCACCTTAAGCACTCCCCACACGAGGGCAGAGTGTCTGGGAACACCACAGGAGGATCCACACAGAGTGTTCTGGAGGAGTCAGAGCCAGGAGGGCTCCCACAGCCCTGACACAACGCTGGGCTACCAGCAGGGAGTGTATGCAGGGCAAGGGGGAGAGGGAATATGTAAATCCACAAAATACAGCTGCTCCTCTGCCCTACACTTGGCACCACAATTAATCACTCGGAAAACCCAATCGGAGCCATTAACGTGGCCACCCAAGTGTGAAATTGGCTGCACAGCAGCTCCCCTGCCTCCCTCTGCCAGGCCTGTCAGCTCCTGCCTGGAGCTGCGAGCAGGCCTGGAGCTGCCCAGCCCCGCGTGCCCTTCCCTGTGCCCAGAGCTGCCTGTCCCACCATGCCCTTCCTGTGCCCTCCCTGTGCCCAGAGCTGCCTGGCCCTGCATGCTCTCCCCTGTGCCCAGAGCTGCCTGTCCCACCATGCCCTCCCTGTGCCCTCCCTGTGCCCAGAGCTGCCTGTCCCACCATGCCCTCCCTGTGCCCAGAGCTGCCTGTCCCACCATGCCCTCCCTGTGCCCTCCCTGTGCCCAAAGCTGCCTGTCCCACCATGCCCTCCCTGTGCCCAGAGCTGCCTGGCCCTGCATGCTCTCCCCTGTGCCCAGAGCTGCCTGTCCCACCATGCCCTTCCTCCTCCCCGCAGCCTGGCAGGGCAGACGTGCTCTGCCAAGGCAGGACACAGCCAGGGCAGCAGCTGCGGGAAGCAGAAGGTGCTCAGCTGCACAGCCCTTGCAGCGCCCAGCCTTGCCATGGAGTGCCAGCGGCGTTTCCCAAACCGCCTGCTGGCAGCTGGAGCTGTGGGCACACGGGGAGCACGGCGCTGCCTCCTGCTGCAGCCAGCCCTGCCCGTGCAGCCTCTGTCTCGCAGTGCCTGCTGCTCTGTGCATGCACAGCCCCTGCTCACCATCGTCACTGGTGTGCGGCTCTGTCCCGTTGTCGTGGTCCACCTCATCGATGGTGCCCGGCTCGCTGTGCGGGCTGTCACTGCAGAGGAACACACCAGGCTGTCACACAGCAAAGGACACTGTTCCCAACACACTCAGCACACTAATGCTGCCCAGGGAGCTGCTGGAGTGCCCATCTCTGGAGGTGTACAAGAAACCACTGGATGTGTCCAGGCAGCAAGGTGGTGCTTGGTCAAAGGCTGGACCCAGTCTTGGAGGTCATTGCCAACCTAACTAATTCTGTGACTTGTGATTCTCTGATTTCAAATCACAGCAGATCCCTGAACTTGCTGAGAACAGCAGACACTGGCACCATGGTCGCCAGGCCCAGAATGTCACATTCTGCTGGCTCTTGTGTCTTTATAGAGTTTGGCAAAACTAACACAAAGTGACCAAGTTAAATGCCCCTCCCATTCCCTAATTTACAGTGAGCTTTAGCTCCTCTGCTGCACCAGGAAGGATGGTGGCAGGTGACTAGTATAAGGCATGGTGAGGTCTCAAAAATGTGTGAGACTTGTAGAAAATCAGCTCCAGTACGTTATTGATCCTGGTTTGTTAAACCTAGACCTGAATGTTGGGTTAGAATTCCAGCACCAAAATGAACTGGAAGGTTTGGGTTAACCTCGGGCCAAGGGATTTCATTCAACCAGCAAACTATGATGGACCCATGGGTCTTTACTCAATATTTCCAGCCTAGGAGGAATTCGGAAAGAATTTACCTAAAATTGTGTTTTGCTGAACAGGCTTCTGTGGATCTGCAGCTCAAAAAATTCTTCATCAGTATTAGTATTTGCCCTGGACAAAGTTTCTTCTGATGTTTTTTACTGAGGTTTAAAATACTGAGTCAGCACAAGAAAATGAACTACCTGGTGAAACTGCCTATTTTGACTGGTAATACTAAATCAGATGGTTCAGTGTGTAAGAGCCCCTGGGCCTGATGATGTTTGTGCCCAGGAACCCTGCAGAGAGCTCACCAGTACTCCTCCCCTCCGGTCATGCACTTCTCATAGACAGGCCCCTCCAGCTCTCGGTGGCTGGGGAAGATGCCCTCGTGGTGAATGATGATGGTTTTGATGACCTCATTGACGTGGGCCTGGCAGGACACCGGATCCTGCCCGTCAGGAATGTGCATCAGCGTGGGCCCGAAGCAGATGGCCAGGTTGTAGGGATCCATCATGTTCTCATCGCTGTACTGGGACAAGCTGCAAGCACACGAGTGAGGAGCGGCCGTGCCGCGCTCCCGCTCCCACCGGAGCCCACCGCCCCAGGACACATCACCACCGAGCTGTCCTAGCACTGCCAGGCCGGGGGGAACCTGGGCACAGCTCCCTTGGCAACACCAAGGGACTCAGGCAGCAAAGGGGACAGCAAGGGGAACTTGGTGAAGCAGGAAAACAGACTCACTGGTTAAGGAAAGCAAAGAGGTATCTCATGACCACGATGACAGCCCGAGGCAGAGTGACGATGATCTGCTGGATCTGGTGCACCCTCTCTGCAGGGTTCTCAGTTTCTGGAACACAGGGATAGAAAACACATCCTTAAAAACCTTTTCAGGACCAAACAGCTCAGCACCAGGGGGACTTGTTCCAAATCTAGTGGCCCAGTAAGTGAGGAAAACAAAAGCCTGTCTCCAGAGGTCATCTGTCAGTCTGGCACTAAGGTGCAGGAAAAGAATGGGGGACTGCTCCTCCAGCAGGGAATTCGTATGTTCACAATGTTCACACGCAGTATGAACAGCAAATAAAGACATTTCCCTGGGCTTATTTTTAAAATAAATGTTTATGCATTATTCATTTCATTCCTCAACAACTCATCTGTTCCTCAAAAGCCTGAGTCAATGTGGCACTGAAAACAGAGCACTGCTTGATTTTCTAGGGCAGATTTTTAAATGAGGTTTTTATTCAGGTTACCCTTCTGGGTTATGCACTGGATCCTTCTGAGCCCTTCCGTTCCCGTCTCCTGCTGCTCAGAACAGGAATTGGAAGCTCCTAGGAAACCGGTTATCCGAACCAGTGCCGAGTCAGTGCTTTCAGAGTCGCTGCTCTCCACTCCAGAGGGGTGCAGAGCCCGGAGCTGCCAGCAGACACCCGCTCCCTGCCAAGGGAAGGGGTGCCTCGGGGCTGTCCTGCCCTAAGCTACTCCTGCATCCTCTAGAGAGCTAATCCTGTGGCTGCTGTTTCACAGGAAGCAGAGGACAAGCACCAGAGCTTTTCTAGAGCAGGCGCACCACACAGAAGCACTTGTTCTGGCTCAAACTATGCCATTTGCTAATCACAATGAAGTTCACTGACAACATGTAGCTAGGCTGCCATTTCATCGTAATTCTGAGTAAAATCTGGCCTCAATACCAAGATGGAAAGCTTTGTAGTATTTCACATGGGGAATTTTTCCATTTGATTTATCCCATTATTGCCTGCTGGGTTCTCTAATTCTTCAGTTTGGTTTTACAAAAGAGGATATTCCTTAAAAAAACCCAACTAAATACAAACTGGATAAACCCGTACATCAATAGATATCTGTTCTGACACCCAGAGGAACAAACTCTCAAAACACTTGCCTTTCTCCCAGAGCAAAATGTTTCAATGGGCACATGGAATTAACAGGGTAGCAGTGGCCACTGCACACACCAGGACAGCCAAGAGTAAAAGGAAAAGCTCTTCACCCTGCTCAGGCTGGGACACCAAGTGTGCAGCCTGTGTTTGTGTGGCACAGACAGCTGCACTTCAGGGCAGATTTTTAACAGGAACAAGGAACTTTATTTTAAAGCTATCCTTAATCAAAAGGTTGCAAGAGCAGCAGGAAGAGAAAGATGGGGAAAAGGAAGATTCTTTATTTTTCCCATTTTAACAAGAAAGATAAGAAAATATCACCCAGAAAATTAACAGATTATGTTTGCAAAAAAATTCCCAAAAGCTTAATAAATTGTGCAAGTTTGCATTAATTAGGGATGGTCAAACACAAGCCTACCTGCAAGCACACAGGCAGCCACGTCACCAAGCACATTCTGGCACCAGAGGGGACCCATCCCCTTCTCCCAGACTGTGCCCTCAGGCTTCCAGCTCTGCAGCCCCTGTGGAGGGCAGCCAGAGAAAGCACAAGCCAAACTGCAATTCCCTGTCCAGGGCATGGAACTGGTGCAGAACCACCTTCCTTTGTGTGTCTCACATGAGTGCTGTGCTGCTTTACACATCAAAACTGAATAGCAACAGTGGATGTCCTAAACTACCACATAAAACAACCGTTCTTGGGAGATCAGAATGCACTCCTCTGCTCTGGCACAAGCCCATCCCTGTGCCAGGGCCCTCCAGGTGTCACCTGTCTCCCTCAGCATCACCAGAGCCCAGCAGTTATGAACATGCACATTCAGAAGGGGGAAAGCACCACAGGCAGTGAAGTTGAGTGAAAGCCTTGAGCAGACACTCCCCCGTTGGTGCCCCTGGAGCTGAGACACTCCAACCCCAAACGACCCCAACATCTCTCCTGTATCATGAAAGTACCCTGTAGCCAGAATGGGAAGCACTTCCATCACCTCTGAAACTTCAAGGTCATTGTGCCTCCTTTGTTCCCCCCAGAGAAGAAATTTCCCCTCTCCCTCCTGCCAGTGCTGCCAGTGCACACTCCTGACATCCTTTCCTAGCAACCCCCACTGCCCACCTGCCACCCTCCTCACAGCAGAAACCCCTGTCTGCAAACTCGGGGGCACCTGCCCCCATCTAGTGCTTCTCTCGAGAGCTGTCACAAGTACTTACTTATAGTAGATATGAAATCTTGAAACCTTTCCTTAGGAAAGAGGGGGTTTTCCAGTCCTCGGAAATACAGCTTCAAGACTCCAGCCACTGAGTTAATGTCTCGCTCGTTCTGATCATCAGCGAGGGGGTCTTCACCTGCCCACAGAAAAGGTTTTATACCCAGCATCACCATCAAGCTGGACTAACACAAGGGGTTTTCCTCTTGTGGAACACCCACATTTCCCAGGGTTCAGAAACCCTCCTTATGTGCAATGGCAATGCTGATTTTTCCTGAAAACTACTTTTACTGGGGGACTTCAAACCTTTCCTGAGGACAAGGATGATATTGGTTGTTTCTCCTTCATCATTTCCAGCTCAGCACATTCTTTGCATTTACAGCACCAGCCCGGAAAGCTGAGGAGGTCTGAAGGACACTGAGTGAGAGGCTGAGAAGACAGGCTTGGCTGGAGGATACAAGTGCACCTCTGGAATGGACCCAATGGCTCTGGATAGCTTTGTACTGACTTAAATCTGTGGAAGGCTTTCAGTGCCCTCGAGATTTGGATACTAATTAATCTTAAACTGGATGTGCAAATCCTCCAGCCTTTGACAATCCTAACACTGCCTTATCCATTGGCCCATCCACCTTCATCCTGATCTTCCAATGCTGCTCAAGGAGTAAGGGTCACTGTTCCCAGCAGGACTGTCCCTGTCCCAGCTCCCCTCCACTCAGGACAGCAGGACTCTTTCCCTTTCTCACTGCCCTGGCATCCTGAGTGTGATTTTCTCAGCAGATTCACTGGCACCTCCGCAGCCAGCACTGGCACCAGGTGCAGGGAATGCTGCGCCTCCCTTGGCAAACTGCTGCAGGAAGGATGAACAAGGGTCCCCAGCAAACTCTCTTATAGCTCTTGTGTTTTTAATGACTGTGGAAAAACCTCTGCACGTACCCCTGTACTTCTCATACTACTTCCCTGGGTAACTCTTCACTACTGCCAGACACAACACTGGGAAACCAGAAGGGATAAAACCTGTTCGTGTCTCACAGCACAATGGGCTTTAACACAGGCTTTACAGCCTGCTAATGCACCCAACACACGCCACCTCCCACAAGGACCCCTGCTCAGGCAGGGCATCCTGCTGCACCTGCACTCCCCAGCTACACACCTCTCTCAAACGAGTTCTTGATGTCGTTGACTTCCACCTGGGAGCCAGGGACTCTGAAGATGCCCTGTTGCTGGAGGCCTGGAAGAGAATAATGCTTTAGGAGAGATTTCTGGAACTGCTGGGCAATACCTGCAGGTCACAACAGCAGAACCCGGGGCCGATGCACCAGACAGCTTGGACCAAGCAGGGACAGCCTGCTGCACCTCACTTCTGCTCATATTCCCCAACCAAGGCCCCCAGATCGAGGTGCTGAAAGGGCTCGTGGCCCGAGCGAACAATTTAACCTGGGCACGCACCAGTAAAACCTCCCTGCTGGCCAGGCAGCTGATGCCACTGGAATTCTAAGCTGAGCCCATGAGAACGGAGTGCAGGCACCCCAGGAGTCTCTGCTGGCTCCCACTGCTCACAGTACAATGAAGTACTTTATTCCTTGGCAGGTTCCTGCGGCTGTACTGAGCCAACTCACCATACAGATTGATGTAGCGGATGCAGCTTTCTACAACAAGTGGAATGGCCTGTCCTGAATCCTTCAGGAAAGGAAAGGAAAAGAAAAAAAGTTACTAGTTTGTTACTAACAAAGCATGGGAAATGCATTAAAGATTTCAAAACCAGAGATTTGAAAATTAATGCTGTGGAGCTTAGTAAGAGGACAGGCAGGAAAGGAGGTGTTACAAACACAGAGCCATCAAAGAGCGCTGAGGATACCGAGTACAGCCAAAAACGCCCAAGAAATCTGTCACTAAGGTGTGAAACATTGCTGCTCCTTGTCTGGCTCAGACAGGAGACTGCCACGAGGGATCACAGCTATTCCACCCCAAAGGTGGAACGCTGAGCTGAAATAAATCTTGTGCTATACCTGGCTGATGGAATAAGCTGCCTGTAACACAGCTTACCACAATATTTCCACCAAAGGAAAGAGCCACTGTCAGCAGGTGCTAAAAAGCCCAACAAACACCACTGGGTATGGAATGGAGTGCCTGAGTCTGAACCAGTGGTGGACTCTGGCTTCTTCCCAGGCCCCTTGTGGCAGAGGCTCAAGGGGACCGTAGGCCATGTCTGACAGCCCAAGTGTTCACATTTCTCTTTGGGATTCTGGTGGCTTTCCAGCAGAGCATCTCTGGGCAATTCCCTCTGTCTCACAGATGGGTCTCCAGTAAGTACCTGATTCCTCGCTCGTGCATTCCTCCTTCCTCTGAGCACAAAAAAAGCAGCAGAGTGGAAAAAAGAGAACAGATTAAGCAGGGATAAGTTCAGTTAGAGGTAAGCATCTCCTTCGGAGGCCATGAATGCTCAAATGCAATGGCAGCTTAGCAAGGGCCAACACAGGCCTTTGGGATGTCCACCCTCCCTCCCAAACCCCTTGGGCACGCTGCACCCCAGCCTCAGCGACCTGCGGTGACAGCCTGGCGGATTTCCTCCTGTCTGAGCCTGGGGCGTTCCCAAGGAGAGGGACAGACCTCGCCTGGGGCACAGGCAAGGCTCTGAGGGGGCACTGGTGACCAGGGGACACCTGGCAGCTGCCAGTGGCCCAGCTGCTGTGAGGCTGCACGCCCCAAGGGCAGGCAGCCGTCCCCCAGAGGCTCTCTGCTAGCACAGGACCCTCCTGCCCAGATGGATTTCTAGAGCAGGTAATTCCTCCTTCTCAGTGCTGAACAGGCTGGGATTTAATGAGCATTACTTTTTTAAAACCAGTTTAAGTCAGGAGTAATCACAAATCCTAACGGGATTACAGGCTTTGCCAGCAGGGCCAGTACTCCCTGTGCTGGTGCTGTGTACAGACACTGCCCTCGGGCTTAGGGCTGAGCTGGAGGCAATAAACCCCAGCCAGATGATGCCTATTAGTCACCTAATCCAGCAGTTTGTCCTTACAGCTTCCCAAAGTGTTTTCACTGAAGCTTTCTCCAGGGCAGGATTACAGCTGGCAGGGGCTGAGCCAGCTGGGCTGTCACTGATGCATTTCTGTGCAAGGCTGAGGGTCACCTGTCTGCCCCCCAACATGGACACCCCTACAGCAGGATTTCTACCCCAGGCTGACAGCCCTTGAAAGTGGGAAACACTTTCTGGGGTAATTTTATCTTCCTTCTTGGCCACAAGAATGGATGACCACCAAAAAGAGGAAGGGGGGTGTGTCTGTTGCTCCTTTGAGGGCTGGGCTGAGCTTGTGTAATCTCTCTTCCCAGGATGGGCAGCAGCAGCAGGACAATGAGGACACTCAGCCAGGACTGCCTCATAGTGCACACAGGCACCAGCCATGGTGGGCCTGGAGCCCACAGCTGAGGGTCAGGAACACCAGGAACGCACGAGGGGAGCTACGGAGAGAAATCATCACCGAGGCAAAGCCAGGCTGGCCACACCAGCTGGGTGCAGATGGGCCAGAGGGACCCCTGAGGATGGCAAGCAGCCAGGACAGGAAAGCCACCATTCCATTCCCAGCGTTCACAGACACTCCTACTGCAAGCCAGCAAGTACCTTAATGAATGTTTCCATATTGCCGTTAAAGAGTTTATGATTATAGACTGAGAGAGGCCTAGGTCTCCTCATTTTCTGTGGCTTAGGGGGAAGACATGGGGGCCTGGGAGAAAATGGAACAAAATAAATCAACAGAACACCAACATAAATGCAAAGACAGGGTGAGATCTCACAGGTTATAATTGAGAATAAGAAATCAAGCAGAAGAGGCCCTCTGTGAGGATCTGATGTGCAGCTCCAGCCACTGACACGGGTGTGTCCCACACAGACACCATCCAGCAGGGAACCAAGGGCACTGGTGGGCAGCTGGATCTAATACCTGCCTCCCTCCACTGCCAGCTCAGCCTGAAGAGGCACCAAGAGCAGCTGAGGAGACACATCCGAAATAAACCACAGCTACCCCAGAAAACGCTGGGGTATTCCTGTTTGCTCCTAAGCAGATTTCATTCTGCTGACAGAAAGAGGTCACAATGAGGACAGTGGGAATACCTCCACATTGCTGTATCTGACTTCTGCCTGCAATCCAGGGATGGGGATGACCCTCCCACTGCCTGTGACAGGTTTCAGTGCAGTACTGAGGACACTGGAGTGCTACCTGCATTATTGCTATTCCCAGTCCAATTCCCCTGCACAATGAAGGACATTCAGTCTCTAGATCTAGACAAAGGAGAAACACACCACAAAATCCCAAACAGATTTCTGCCCTGCCCTCTGGCCCAGGCTGCACTGATGTCTGCACAGAAGAGAACATGACTGCAAACACACACAAAACTGGGTGCTGGGAGCCTCCATGCAGGAGATCTCATGGAACAGACATGGACACTTTACACAGAGCTCACTGCAAAGGGGACAGCAGGGGCCTGCTGCTCCCTTAATCAGATGCCTCTAATTAAGCAACTTGACTCTACACTCCTGCAGCTCCCAGCCACTCCTCTGAGGGGTAGTGAGGAGCAGAGGTGATGCTGCCCCTGGGAGCAGCCCTGCCCCACGCACTGCAGGGACTGTGCCTGCAGCCCCCAGCCAGGGCCCTGCGCTCACTCCTGGGCCCCAGGGTGCCAGGGAGCAGGGCCATGTCTGCGCCTCGGAGTGCCACACTGCACAGCCCCTGCTCCCTGAAGGTCCCTCTCTGTCCTGGCAGCACCTCGGGGCCCTGCTGGGTGCCCAGCCCTGATGCCACTCGGGCACAAGGAGCCTCCTTCCTGCCTGGCAAGGCAGCCCAGGCTGCACCATCTGCTTCACCACTTCTAACAGGGAACCGAGCTTTTTTTTGCTGGTATTATAAATTTTATTAAACACAAACAAGGTTGGAACAAGCTGACACGCAGAGAGGCTGTGCATGTTCTAGGGAGCTGTTTGGAGGCTTTGCTGGCCTGTGTCAGAACACCAGCACACGCCAAGCAAGCCACTGCAGCTCTGTGGAGATGCTTCATGGACTGGACACAGATCAAAGCCTCCTCTCTGTCACATCTGCCCCAGCCCTATCTCCTGCCCTAGAGGGATGAAGTCTGATACAGGCATGCTCTGCACTCACAGGTAAAGCAGCCAGAGCTGGGAGAGGATTTCAGGGACATATTAAACTCCTCAAAGGAAGAGGGATGGCAGGAAGTGAGTGTACACCTTCGTGTCACCCTGTCTGAACACAACCCCACCTCAGCTATGCTCCAGGGCGTTGCACTGTGCTGATAAAGCACATCCAGGCACAGCAGAGCCAGCCAGCCAGAAACCACACTGAGCAGAACCAAGGGCTGCTTGCCACCCCCCTGATCCCAGCACTCCGGGCCATGCAGCTGGGAAGCAGGATGTGGGGCACAGGGACTGCCAGCACAGCGGGGCTGGGGTGGGTAACTGAACCCCACCAAGCTGCACCAGTGGCAAAGCAAACCCCCCTTCCCACACACCCTCCTGCCAGCACAGCCCTCCCAGGAGCAAGGAGGGGAGGAAAGTGCTCACCTGGTTGTTCCACACTCAGCTCTTTCACCTGTAAGAAACACAAGATCCCATCATCCCTCCACATCAGCCACCAGCAAAGGACTGCAGAGCACAGCTGCACAGGAGCTCACACCTCACTGCTGGCTCCTACACCCCAAGGAAAGGCTTCCAGCAGAGAGGAGCTGCATTTGGGGAGGAGAGATGGCCACCTGGTGCCCCCACCATTAAAAGAGAGATTAGAAATCTAGAGGGAGAGGAAGGAAAGAGGCAGAGGGTGGGAGTGAGTGGCAATCTCTACTGCTGGAGAAGTAACCCAGCACTTCAGCACACAGTATCAGATTCAAAGAGATTTCTCTATGTGCACTCCCAGAGAAAAGTGGGAGGAGTAATCCAAGGAAATGATGGTTTTGCATGTCACTGGTCAGCCTGAGCAGCAGCAGCCAGGCACAGCCACTCAGGAGAACACACACGGGGAGGCTGACAGGTAACACACGGTTTAAACCCCCTCAGGTGATGGAGGATCCTCCCTGGAGCTGACCCCAACTCACCTTCTCCCAGAGTCTGCTTCAGCAGGTCGTGTTTAGCCTGGAGCTTCGTGATGAGGTTACTGCCATTCAGATACTCCTTAAATTTCTGGAATTAAAGAACAAATGGGTGGGTTGAGCACCACAGCCCCTAATGGATGTTCACTGCTGCGGGGGGGCACAGGAGGCTGCAGGCTGCTCCGCAGAGCTCAGCAGGGTCTGATCACTTCTCCCTGCTCCAGCCACTGCCCTGATGCTCTTATTAGCCTGGTCTCCTTGGAGCTGCCCCTCCTGCCCAGGAACACGGGGAGGGACAAAGAGTTCAAAGCTGGCTTTCTTTTGCCAGGCTTCTGGGAACAGCCCAGGAAGTCAAAGCAGCTTTCCCTGCACTGCCAAGGCTTCGCCTCTGTGCAAACCAACAGTGGCAAGCAAGAGCTCCCAGTGCCTGAGCCCTCGCAGGCAGGGACTGCCAGGTGCCCATGCAGCCGGTGACACCGTGCAGAACAACTGCCATCCCCCAGCAAGGCTGTCAGACACCCAGGAACACTCCAGAGCAAGGCATTACACAGGTAAGAGCAGAGAGGGAGACAAGAGATGGAAAATAATGGAAGACAGAGAATGGGAAAGATCAAAATCTCTGCAAAAAGTAAATCTCTGCATTAAAGTAATCCCAAGCATGATTCCAAATGAAAATTGCTAATTCCCCCCCAATTTACAATAATATTATTGAGAGAAAGTAGAAACTCTCCTATGCATATGTAATACATCACAAGATGCTGCTAACCATCAGCTGTGACCCACAGTGAAATGAGGGAGACTTCTGGTGAACTCATGGCCTTTGCCTGTATTTCAGGTACCAGCACAGAGACCTGAGCCCTGCCTGGGAGTGCAGCATGAGAGCTGCAGGGCAGGCACACACAGCACAGCCCAGCTTTTGTGCCTTCCTCGGTATGTGAGTGGCTTCAGCTCATCCGTGGGCCAAGGGCAAATTTACGATGGAAAGGCTAGAGAGGAGGGCTTGGCTCACAGTTCACAGTCCTGAAGAGACCGTGGATGGTGGCCCACGGGCCCATGAGTCCATCTGGAGTCTGCACCCTGCTCTGAGCCCCTCCTACTCCACTCATAAGTTTTGAATCTCATCTGGCTGCTCCAGTTGTTCCTTCAAAGAGAAAAACAAGGCAGGCACTGGATTGTCAGTCCCTATGTAGTGCCCTGACACTGAAATGCATTCCAGACCCAAATCTGAAGGAAGACAAGTACTCAAAGAGATTGAATTGGTTCTTGCTCTTCACTAATGAGCACTTAACTGGGCCTCAGCCCTGGCAATTAATGTTTTGTGCCCTGTATGCCTGAGCTGAGACTCACAGTGAAATAGAACATTTCAGTCTCCTGCTGGTTGGCTCTCCTCTTGGCAATGTTGATTTTGCTCATGTAGGTCTCTGATGCAGCTGATTTGACTGACTCAGTGGAGCGGCTGTGCTGGAAGGCATCTGAAACATCAAAATCTTCCACTGTCAGCATGTCCTGCAAGGTCTGCATCGTGGCATCCAGCGTTTTCCGTACCTATCAGAAACAGGACAGCGTGGGCTCGAGGCAGACCAGGAAAAGGGCACGTCTTGAGCCTAAACAACCGCTCAACAGGCAGTTCCTGAGCCCTGGCTGCAGTCTGTGAGCACTTCCAGCTCTGCCATAGGAGGAGCTCCACACCTGAGCACACCAGGAGAGCTCCAGTGGAAGAAAGGCTCAGCAGCACTGCCCACAGACCCCACCACTTACCTCTTCATTCTCTATCTTGAGGGTGGCCAGCCGAGACTGCAGCTGGTGGTACCGCATCAGCAGCTCGGTCTGCACAGGCTGCTGGGCGCTCACCTGGCACACCTGGGACAGGAGACATTCCAGGGTCATGCATGGACCAGACACACATTCCCATACCCACAACATTCCTGGCAGCCTCCAGAGAGGTTGTGCAGCCGTGTGTCCCATGAGCAGCGCCCTGGACCCAGGCCAGCACCCTCTGCCATCTCCCAGTTACAGCAGGTTAACCACAGCTCCCTGTGCAGATCTGTGGGGCAGACAGAGCCAAACCAGGGGCTCCCTAATTGGGACAGGCATGGAGCAAGAGGCAGCCTGAAAGGAGCAGCCCTAACGAGCCAAGAGTCTCATTAGGAAAGGGAACGCGAATGGCAGTGCGTGAAGGCAGCAGAGAGGGGCAAGCAGTCAGAACAATTTCACAGGGATGGTTCAGAGCAGGGCCAGGCCAGGCCCCTCTGCAGCCCTGGCCGAGCACGGTACCTCATCCCCCATGTGCGGCTGGAACTCGAACTTCAGCGGCGGGCAGAAGACCTGGTTGCACATGTCCATGATGGTGTGCTTGTCGCTCCGCGCGTCCAGGTTGTCCACAGCGTTCTCGATGACGTCCAGGCCCTCGTGGCGGGACGTCTCCAGGTTGTACTCAGCAGACAGGTACGTCCTGAAGGTCCGAGCAAGGCTGGCGTGGAACCCCAGATCGCAGCACTGAGGAACACAGAGGAGGCTCTGGTCACACAGACACTCCCAAACCATTGTGCAAGGCTCTCAAACACAGGCGGGGGCTGAAGCAAGGTGTGGCAGTGGACACCGTGCCCTGCAGTGCGTGCACATCCTGCTCTGTCCCTGGGCAGCTGCCTGCTTCCCACCATGGAGCAGCTCTTCATGCTGCTGATCAGTCTCACGTGTTCTTGGGGAAAATGATAAAACTTGGAGTTAACTGCTGCCAAAATACGGTACTTTAGACAAGAAACTGGTTTTAAACATTGTCTCCACTGTAACTGAATTTGGCATGTCAAGTATCATACCAGCACAGGGATTTGCTACCCCGAAAGCTCCATCAGAGCTGAGCAAGTCCAACCTGTGACCAATCCCCACCTTGTCACCCATTCAGCCCAAAGCACTGAATGCCATGTCCAGCTATTCCTTGAACACCTCCAGGGATGGTAACCCCACCACTTCCCTAGGCAGCCTGTTCCAGTGTCTGACAACCCTTTCCCTGAAGAAATACTTCTTGAAATTCATATTGATAAACTCAAAGTGAAACGCAAAACCTCAGGTGGTGCCACAAGCAGCTCTTACCTCAGAAGCCGTCTCATGCTCGGTGCCCATGTGAGGTGACACTGCTCAGCTCAGATCACATCACAGCAAGGCTGTGCTTGCTTCAACCTCTGCTAAAACCAGCATCAAAGCTACACTGGGCCAATTCCCAGCCCCACTGTCCCTCCTAGTCTTTAAAACCTGTGAAAACCCATGCACAATAATGAGCAGTCTTGTAAAAACTATCAAATTGTCACAGCCCTCCATTTATCCTCCTTCTATTTAGCTTCTAATTACATTAATTGAGAGCATGGGCATTTACAGACTGGTACAGACCTGCCTTAAAAAAATCAACAAGCCACACAAAAAAAGATAAGGGATGGATTTCCATTTGCTGCTTGGGGCAAAACCTCATTCTGTGCTGCAAGTCTCTCCCATGAGACAGTTTCAGCACGAACACCCATATGACCGCTCCAGGTTGTACAGAAACCCCAGAGCTGGAACAATGCAGCTGAAGGGCTGCCACACAGACGGGGCAGGGACCAGGGCCGGGACCCCTGCGCAGCACTGGGGAGGACCAGCACTCCTGCCCTGACCCGCTGACCACAGCCCTGTGCCCTGGGAACGGGCTGTGCGTTCCCCAGCACCTCCCAGCCCTCACCGGTGTTCTCCCACCCCTGAAATCACAGCTACTTTGCTACAAAAAACAGCGCCAGGAGGAAATATCTGCCACTGCTCAAGGGTGGGAGTTCCCAAAGCACACAAACCCGAGCCACTACAAGGCAAAGCACTGAATGGCACAGAGCCCAAGGAGAGGGGCTCGGGGCATTGCCAGCTGCGCTTAGGACAGAATTCCATGTGAAATGCTTCCCTCTTTTTGCTGCCAGACTCGCACTGAAGCCGGCGGGGATTTGCAGTGCCCAGCAATCAGCTGCTCCCGAAAACCAGGGCAGGCACTTCCCGCACACACTGCAGCCCTTGAAGTCCCTGGTGATCAGCACCGTGCCGGCTGCTTCACACACGGGTGCCCAGAGAAGAAAAGACGGAGCAGGGATTTCCACACAATTCCCAGAGGAACACACAATGGGGAGGGGAAAAGAAAAAAGCAGAAAAAAAAGACTTCAAACCAATGCTCCCAGCCCCAGAACAAATGGCATTTTCTCACCCCTCTCATCCCTTTGATGGCAAATAAATTAGAACCACAACTAATAATCCCAGCCCTTCCGCAGCGCCTTTCATCTGCCAAGCTCAGAGCTCCCCAAGCATTAATTCATCACGTCTGCTAACACCCTGCAAGGGGTGGAAATATCCCAGTGTTCAGCCTGAGAAACAAACCGGCTCCTGGATCTCGAGCAAGCACATTTGGCCAAAACACCATGGAAGCAGCCAAATACCTGTGTGCCTCCCCCTGCCCCCCAAGCTGCACCGGGGGGCAGTTTGGGCTCCAGGAGAAGGAAATGCATACATCTGTGGCTCCAGCAGCTTCGAGTCCCTCTCGTTATCTGGAAGGCTGAACCTGCACAAGACAAAGCTCAGCCAGGCCCACGGCTCAGACCTGAGCAAGTGGAACCCTGGAGTAACACCTGAGCACCTGGGTGCCCTGCCAGCCACCCCTTAACTTCACAGGCAGGGCAGTAACGCCCCTGCCTCCACAGGACCAGCACTGCCTGCAAACAAAGAGCCCAACTCATGTGCTCTGCTCTGTTCCCCCTTCTCTGCATTTTTTCCTTATCTGTTTTTTTAAAAAATATTCTATATTATTTTTAATGATATGCATAACAATTATATGCCTACTTTAATTTATGCCTCTTCTCTCTTGATGTAGCTGCAAAATCCAGAGCTGTACTGTGCGGCAAGTAAATCACAGAATGGTTTATGTTGGGAGAGACCTTAAAGATTATCCAATTTCAACTACCCTGCCATGAACAGGAACACCCTCCACCAGCCCAGGTTGCCCCAGGCCCTGTTCAACCAGGCCAGCAAAGCCAACTGGGGATTTTTGGCATAACTATTTCAGCTGCTGTTTCTGTTCCCTAACTTGACTCAGATAGTTTTTCCAGGGACCAAGCAATTCGGCAGTTCCATGTAACACTGAATTTCCTCAGAGCTCTCCTCCCTTCCTAGCTTGTCTCAGATACAGCAATCACTAATCCATGGGGATGTGAGTTGCTGCTCCAGAAGGACTCGGAGGAGGCTGCGGACGTTTCAGCAGATCAGTTTATATGGAAAGCGACTGTTCCATTTTCTCTGCTGAATCTAGTGATATCTTTCATGTGACCGCTTCAAACTATCTTGCAGCCACTTCCCACAGAACTCCAGAGGGATGGATAAGGAGCTTTATCTCCTCTTTGCACACGTGGTCGAAAAGATTAAACTTGGTCACAGAGTTAATGACAGAAACGAGACAAACCCAGGCGCTTAGACAGACGCACGTGTCATCTGAGGAGGAGGCCCCACGGTGCACTGACAGTCCAAGGCTAATTTGATCTATCTCTATATTCTTCCCTTCCTTTCTAGGACAAAACAACAAGGCCACTGGAGACAGAGCAGCAGACGGCTCTGCGCCCCTCCGCGGCTCCTCTGATGGGCTTCACAGGTCTCATTAACCCCGGGAGGCCTCCCTGCCACTCCCGGAGCAGCTGGGCCCTCTGCCCTGCAGAGCAGGAGGGTCCAGCACGGCTTTGTCACAGCCCTGCGCTCAGGGCTGCCAGGGAGCACGCACGTCACGGCCGTGCCTCAGAGATGACACTGAGGCAGCTGGGATGGGGCAACACCGGTAAATTGGCTCTGCAGTGTCCTGACAGCTCAGATTGGTGTGAAATCAGCAGCTGCAGTGGCAATTTGTACTGGAGATGGAGGGAGCGCGAGCCCATCGCCTCTCCCGCATCCCAGAGAGCCAGCCCGGCGCATCCCTCAGCATTCCGCGGTGGTGCAGGGCGGAGGAGCCAGCAGGAGCCACAGGACCGTGGCCAGCCGGGCTCGGAGAGCGGTTAGTCGGGCTCAGAGAGTGGTTAGTCGGGCTCACAGAGTGGGCAGCCAGGTTCAGAGCTGCCCTGGGCTCCAAGCGTGGCCAGCCAGGCTCAGAGAGCGGTTAGTCAGACTCACAGAGTGGGCAGCCAGGTTCAGAGCTGCCCTGGGCTCTGAGTGTGGCCAGCCAGGTTCAGAGAGCAGTTAGTCAGGCTCACAGAGTGGCCAGCCAGGTTCAGAGCTGCCCTGGGCTCCAAGCGTGGCCAGTCGGGCTCCCCTCTCCCACAGAGCCCCTGCTCACCCACACGCTGCAGAGCCACTCCCTCCATGGGCTCCGCTGCCCCACGCAGACCCTCTCCAGCACCACTGGGATCCTGTGGCTTGGATTCATTTCTTCTGGAGTGCTGAAGCCCTTCTTGCTTCCCAAGATACACTGAACTCGTAAAAAGGCCTGCCCAGATAAACTGCTCTCCCTTTGAGGAGACGGGACACCCATGCTCAGCTCACACATCCAGGATTTTGTTTCTTTGCTGAACAGACTTTATAATCGGGAGAAATTTCATTGCTCCATGTTAAAGATGCTTTAGCTAAAGCCCCTGAAGGGATTCCTGGAGTGTGGAGGAAATGCCATCTGCTGACTCCAGTGGAAGTGCCAGTGAGGAAATAAAAGTTGGGAAGAATAATATAAACAGACAGAGCTAAAATGGAACTCAGCAAATCTCCAGAAAATCAAAGTTCAAAAAACTCCACAAAAAGAAGTCATTGTTGCTTAAAAGATAATTTAACAAAAGAAAGATAGAATGTACACTGCAAAAGCAGAAAGCCTGCAGATATATCAAGGTGTTCTCACACCTTGCCATTCAAATGTCTCCACAATCAACTTACTTTTTTTTTAACACATCTTCAATAATAAAGAGAACAAAAAGAACATAATTAAGAGTATTTTATCGTATATCAAAATCTTTAAGTCATGAGGGGATTTGCATCAGACTTACTTCAATTCTCAGAAGTGTAACTACATGCTAATGGGCTAGGAAAGGAGGTAAACACTCAAGCAGCTTTTTAAATTGTACATTTAGGTAATGATGGTGCTTCAAGCTCAGCTATTTATGCACTCACTGAGGCACCTCCAGCAGGAAGAAGCTGCACCCTGCAATCTACACGCTGTGGGATGCCCAATAAAGGAAGAAGCAGAAATCCCTTCTCTGGGTAAATCCCTTCTTTGAATAGTCTCAAAGCAGTTTGTAGGAGTCACCAGTGTTCAGTTCCTATCATTGCCTCCAGCAGTTCCTGCCTTGAGGCTATTCCCTTCAAGGAGCACCGGGACAAAGCCCCAAAGGCTTCCCCAGCCAGGACAGCACTGCCACATGTGCTGAATCCCCACCAAAGTCACCGAGTAGCAGAAAGAAAAAACCCCCCTGGTTCAGCACCAAAACCAAGGCTGTGTCTGACTTGGGCAGCATTTTCTGTCCCAGACACAGACTAACCAATGGGCCGAGAACAAAACCTCAGTCTCACCTGGCTCAGCCCAAGGCAAACCCAACCCATAGAACATATCCAGCCCCAGTTAAGAACAGCCTAAAGCCCCCACAGACACCCCCTCAGCAGCACAGGAGTGCAGCTCAGAGCCCAGCCAGGCTGCAGGGAAGGCACTCACGTCGATGAGGTCGGAGACGTCGTGGATGTAGTATTTGCTGACGGCCGCGTTGGTGGCTGCCAGGTTCAGCAGGTAGTCGTTCCTGGCTTTTGTACATTTCAGCTTGTTTTCAGAATACTTGGCTTGTCTCTGAAAAAGCAGAATGGAGTGTCAAAGCACAAACAGGATGGTACTGGCACAGTTTCTCCTGCCACAGACCCCCACAGCACCATGCAGCCTGGGTGTGATGAGGTAATTACTAGAACTTGGTATCTGCTATGAAAACAGGGAAACACCCCGGTATGAAAGACCCTTACCAGAGCGGAGGAGATCCCATCTGAACACCCCTCACGCTGTCAGCCAGCCATGATGAGTGCATCCTGCTCAGAGGAGCCCCTGAGCACAGCTGCTGCTGGGGATTTTGGCATCAGACAAAACCAGAGGGCCAAATTTTTCCCCCCAGAAATACTGACATACGTTTGGACTTGGTCCAGATGTGTGCAGCTGTATCAAAGTGGAATCTGGCCCAGAGGCCCAACCTACACAATTCAGAACAGGACCCAGAATTTAAAACTGTAAGAAAGCAGATGTGCTCCAGATCTGGGACATCTGCTCAGGCAGATCTCTGCTCTGAAGGCTGAATCAAAAGATTAACCCTTCTGAGAAGTTCACTGTTAGAAATGTCCCAGGGCTGGATGAGCCAGCGAGCAAATGCATCCCTGGCTGGGGAAACAATCACCTTTCCTCCAAAATTAACACAAAAACTTGTGGAGATCCTGAGGTCACGGAGTTTGCTGAGGCCAGAATGGCACAAAGTGTTTTGCCTAGGAAATCCATCTAAATATTGCACTCTCACTTCCAGACAGTCTGCAGTGCCCTCCTCAGCACAGCCCCTGGGGCCCGGCTGGCACAGCCAAGCCCCTGGCACGCCGTGGCCCAGCTGCTGCTGGAGAAGCAGCTCCCACTGCCTCTCCCTGTCCTGCGCCCCAGGAGCCACCACCCCCAAGGCCCCTCCAGCTGCTGGTCTTGGCTCTCCCTCCAGAGCCAGCCTGGAAGGTGCCACGGGTGGCCAGTGGCTCCTGTGCAGGTCCCCACCCCGTCCAAGGGCACTGCCTGCCCCTGTCGTGCCATCCTGACTCCTCCTCTAGGAGCTGGTGCTGGCCCTTCTCCACAGCCAGGAGCAGGGAAGGCACTTGTGTTGGCCTCCTTGGGTATCTTCAGCAGAACATGCACACGAGACACCAGCCCTCCTAACCCCTTCCCAGAGGTACAGGAATGGCCTCACAGACAAAGACAAGGCTGAAGCCAACCCCTGCCGCCTGCAGGGAGCCCCAGCCCCAGCCCAGCTCCCTCTTCCTTCCCTCTCACCCACCTTCTCTTTCATCTTCTCAATCTTCTTGACAGAGCTGCGCCGCTGAGGCCGGTCCTCGTGTCGCAGCAGGTTCACACTGATGTCCCCTGACTTGTTGAACTGCTTTTCTTCCTGCTTCTCTGCCTCCTTCAGCTTGCTCTCGGCGCTGATGCTCTCTGCGTGGTACATGTGGTAGGTCTTCATCACCTGCAGACACAGGAGGTCAGGAGCCACCCTGCCATGGCCACCTGCAGCACCAGAGCAGGACCAGCCAGCAGCCCTGGGCAGGGCAGAGGGCTCTGGGGGCTGCTGTGGCATTAAGGAACAGAGCAGGGAGAAAAGCTTGAGAGGTGAATCCCAGCCCCAGCCCTATTTCTAGAGGCTCCAGGCTGGTCTAAGAACTGTGATGACACTCAGTCCCACCGGGGGACATGATCCAGCACACACCTGCAGTCAGAGAGCACTGTATGCCTGCCAACAGGGACATAAGGAATAACCTCAGGGCTCTGCAGCTGGGAAAAGGGTCTCCATGAGAAGTGACTGTGAGAGAGGCCACAGTCAGTCTGACCTCCCTTTTGACCGAAACCCTCTGCTCCTACACGTGGACTTGCTATGCCATCAGACAGCCGAACCACCCGAAGTGGAGGAGCTGCAATCCCCAGGCAGAAATGGGGTTCGTCTCCTGTCACCACCTCATCCTCCCCCTGCTGCCACCAGCAGGCACAGGCAGTGCCAGGATGGGTGCAGCAGCACCTTGTCCTTGACATTCCAGATCCAGGAGGGATGACACTGATCCTGGAACACTCTACAGGCAAAACTTCCAGCACAACCTTCAGAAACTAGAGCCCAAAGGGCACACTGGATATTTTAAAAGAGCTGGCAAGAGGGACACATCTATTCCTCTCTCTTTATGCCTTTAGTCACATGTCCCCTCCTATCATCTCCCTTCAGGACGTGGACAGTTTATTTCACATTGCCTTGTGCTCCCTGCAATCAGCCTCAGCAGCTGGGCACTGCAGGCTGGGCACACCGGGACACGCTGCGATGGGCTGGGGCAGGCGGGGACACATTGGGACATGCTGGGACACACTGGGATGGGCTGGGACACACCGGGACACACTGGGATGGGCTGGAGCAGGCTGGGACACACTGGGACACACTGGGATGGGCTGGGACATGCTGGGACACACTGGGATGGGCTGCCTGAGGCCCAAGGGTTAAAACAGAGCAGGAACCCCAGACGCAGGAGGTTTTTATGCAGGGGGGGTTTTACACATGGCCTAATGAAGCAAACAGAGTTTTCCTCAGCTGCAGCTGCCAGCAGGAGCCAGGAGTGTTTGACTTGGAGCAGGTCAGGCTGAGCTGCAGGATCCGTCCTCCTGCCAAGCACAGCCCTCAGCTGAAGCACGCTCCCAACGCCCTCCGGAGCCACACAAACCTGGCACTGCAGGGACATCCCAGTGCAGGGACACCCCACCCTGCAGGGCAGGGACAGGCAAGGGGCAGTGAGCAAAGGCTCCTACTTGGTCCTGAGCTGCTGCATTTCCAAACCCCGGAAATTCTTAACACAGATTGCAACCACGTATTTCAAACTGCCTTTTCTGCAGTGAATGCCACAGGACACACACAGACCAGACGATTCCTGGGGTTTTCTTAAAGAGAAAGACCAGAGGGTTTCACTGAGCCTTCCTCATCCTCACCACCTAACATCTTTTTGTGAAGCACACAGAGGGAAGTGAAGAAGCAAAATCCTGCATATCAGAGCTTCAGGCAGTAAGAGGAAACGTTTCTGCAGCATTCAGAGAGGCCATGACACAACATGACAGCAAAGCCCAACGAGTGACAGGGCTCCAAATTGCAGGATTTTTGTGAAATCTAAAGGTTCAGTTACCCAACCAAAACAGATACCTTAAACAACTCACTGTGCTTCTCACAGCTGCCCTGCCACGCAGCTCGCTCTTGGAAATTCAGAGTGTATTTCTGTTTATACCTGCCTTAATTTTGGCCAGGGCCAACCTGCACTGCAGCAATCAGTCCCTGATCTGCAATTCCCTCGTGCCGTCTCGGTGCCCGCAATCCAATCACGCTGTCCCTGGCTTGCATTGCTGTGACACAAAGACAAACTGCCACAGCTGCGTCCGGGGATCTTTCCTGCAAATCAGTTAATTAGCTGCAGCGAAGGAGGAAAAATATGTTCCAATGTTCATTAGTTATTTAACAACACGAGTTGTGTTTTCCATATTAATTACATGTTCTGGATAAAGGCTGTTGCCAAAATACCGGCCGTAAATGGCACTGCTGGCAGTCTCCAGCTACAAGGGCTTTGTTCTCCTCAACAGCTCAACCCAAGGTTCTGACCCAGCAGAGGAGCCAGAGCAGAAATGGGGTGACCGTGTCAGGTACAGGCTCAGGCCCCCTCAGCCTCCTGCCTTTACCAGCTCCAACTGGAACCTCTCTGCTGGAATCCATAAGGAGGAACCAAAGGAACGAAGCTGGTTTTAATTCACAGCTGAACTATTTCTGCACAAAACCATTCACAAGCATCTCCACTTCAGAATGAAAGTCATCCACTTCCATTTTGATTAAAATCAGCGTGGCTTTGGTTCTCTCCATACACACTCCACAGGGTGACTTGCATCAGAACAGCAACAAGGCTGAGTTAAAATCAATGTGGTTGTTTTGGCTTGAGTTTGAGACAGTGAATGCCTGAGAAGCTTGTAAAAAATTGTTGTTTCCATCCAGTGCACAGAATTCTCCTTAATTCTGCTTAAAAAGCAGCCTCGCCAGGGCATGGATGAGCTGTGGGTAAAGGCCTGGCCAGAGGAAGAAATCGAGTTCCTTGTGCTGACAGCAGACAAGCGACACTCCTGAGGAAGCAGCAGCCCGGTGTCCTGAGCCAGCTCCTTACCCCGTGCCTGGCTCTGTCAGCAGCCACAGCTCCTGTGCTGCTCGTGGGTTCCCAAGGTGCTGAAAGAACTCACCACCAGCAGCTCAGCCCCAAAGATGTCCCAGCCACCCCAGCACGTGAGCCAGGGCGCAGCTGGGCACCTGATGGCTCTGGGACAGAACCACGAGGACGTGAGCTGACCCTGACTGCCCCACAGGCTTTTCCCCCACGCTTCTGAGGCATGGCCCTTCCCTGCTCCTTCCTGGCTGGATGACACAAGCAGTTTGCCATCTTGGCAGCAAGGCTGAACGCAAACACAGAGCTCCTCCAGATGTCCCAGTTTCCCATTCAAACCAGTTTGTTTCACCATTCAAGCCCATTCTCCTCAGCACACAGAGCAAAGCAGTGAATGGGAGAAATCCCAGCTCCTGTGAGGATGAGCAGAATCACCCTCTGTGCTCCTCCTTGGCCACTGCTTGCACTGGGGGTCTCAGCACACTGCTGGTCCCCCCGTGACCCCAGTGTGTCCCTCGGGGATGGCCCTGTCCCATGCCTGGGGTCAGAGCATACAGGTCCACAGCTATGAGGTCCGCCTAGCCCTTGTTAGCCTTTCCTTGTTTTGCATCTGTCATGTTGCTGCTGCAATTAATCTTAATTAGTCACCACCTCTAACACAGCTTGTGACATTCAACCATCAACAATGTAGTCCCAAATCTCACACAGGCTTTTTAATCTGATCTGCTGTCCACCCACACTGCAGGTCTCACAACAATCAAATCCTTCAACAGCCAGTGCAGGAACAAACCTGTTAAGAGGAGATTTATGGCAGAAATTTCAAATACAATCACTCATGCTCTGTTGTTTAGGCCTGCTCTTCAAAGAGATGAAATAGAATGATTGTTTAAGAATAAACCTACTGCAGCATTATTTATGTACCAGTTACAGATATAACCAAAGAAAGCAAATATATTATCTCAATTTTCCAACAAAAGGCAGTCTTTATATGGTTTTGTTGCTCCTAAACCACAAATAAAATATTTTTTTTAAAAAACACTTGCTACAGGGCAAGAGGCAGAAGCAACACAAAGACTTTCATTACTCTGCCATGAAAACCTGCTGGAAGAGCTATGTCCTGACTAACAGCACATGATCGCACTGGGAGGCACAGACAACTCTGCAGCCAAAGTGCTCCTCGGGGCACAAGCCAGAGCTGAGCCCCTGCGAGCCAGAAGTTTTCTGCATTCCCCAGCAGAAGGTCACGTTCAGCCATCCCCCTGGCCAGGGGCTCACAGGAGCAGGGAGGTGTCCAGTGGACAAGCACAGCCAGCTCAGAGCCACTGGTGCTGGAATCAGCAGCCCAGAGTCTGAGCAGGGCCAAAGGTAGCAGGGGTGCTGAGCCCCAGCAGGTGAGAGCGTTCCAGAGCGTTCCAGAGCATTCCAGAGCATTCCAGAGCGTTCCAGAGCGTTCCAGAGCGTCCCAGAGCGCTCCAGAGTGTTCCAGAGCGCTCCAGCACCCCAGGGATCTGAGCGACCACAGCAAACACCCCAGGCAGGCTCAGGGCAGCAGCCGGGCACCGGCACCGGGCCCAGCCCTCGGCCTCGCGCTGCGGGAGCTCCCCCGGCACCGCCACCAGCCCAGCGAGCAGAGAGGCTCCCGGGATGTGAGGGGCAGCACGGCCACGGCCAGGGCACAGCCCCAGACTGGCTCTGACAGACACCTGTGCTCCCCAGACCCTGCCTGGGAACACGGGATGGGCTCGCTGCTCACCGTGTACAGCTCATTGGTGACTTTCAGGAGCTCCTCGTGCATCTGGAGGCCAATCTCTTTGCTCTGCAAGACAAAAACAGAAGAGGTGAGACTGTTACGCTCAAAACGTGCAGTTCTAAAATGAAAATACATTTCAGAGGAATAAACATGAACACACAGTGCAGCAAAGTCTGGTGCAGTTTCAGGGCGGCTCCATATTCATTTGAGGCTGACTTTTGCCCATGGATCATCCAAACTGGGTTTCAGAGACCACGAGGAGGAATTTAATATAATTTAACTTATTTATCCTGCAGAACAGATGAATCTAAAATTACAGGCAATACTGATTTACCCTTTCACTGGTAAACTTCATTCCTAGCCCACAGCCAACTCCCCATTTGGGTGTAACATAACACTGTCCCCCAGTCTGGGGACTGGCAGAGACTCACTTCGAGACTGGCAGGCATACATCATCCAACAGCCATTTGTGTTCCCCAGACTGGCAGTTCCCTAGACTGGCATCCTCCAGCCCCACAGCATCACCTGTCAATCTGTCTTGATCTGAAACACTCTGGGCTCTGTGACTAAACCCATCTGCTGCTGGACCTGCAATTTCCAGCCAACACTGGTATTTCAGAGCAAAGACTACCAGGGCTCCCCAGCACTGGCATCCCAGGTTTACACTTCCCTTGGCCATGACCCACTCCCTAGCTCCTCCTCAGGAGCTCATTTTCACTATTCTGACCCAAGTGAACCAAAGCATCTCTGAAAAAGGACATTACAAAATAGCTACACCACAGTTATATAATAAAGTTTCCCGTTTCACAACAGCAGCAGCCAAAGTTCAGCCAGCTGAGGAGACACTCACTGCCAGTGAGGAAGTCCTGGCATCCTCCTGTCTGCTGCACTCCCATTATCAGCCTGTGTTTTCCCTTTCCTTGCCAGGCAGGATGAGGCAGATGCAGTCGCCAGCCTTCTCCAGCATGGACACAGCCCTTTGTGGAGAGGCCACAGCACGGGGAGCTGCCCAACACCAGAGCTTGGCTGCAGATCAAACCCACTCCTACTGCAACCCAGCAGCTGGAGGTGCTGGATGTGCTCACACTGCTTTCCTGCCTGCCTGTAATTACACCACAAATCTCTCCGTGGAATCTTCTTGGCTAGGAAATACTTAGTATAGCTTGAAGATGTGTTTAAACTAAGTATAGACACCCCCCTCCTCCCTCCCTAAACCAAACCAAAACAAAATTGAGCCGTTACTCCCAGATTTCCTCAAATAACTCCAGGAAGTTTTGTGCACGTGGGCAAGGAAAACAACATTCCATCAGGCTGGGTGATGAGAGAAGCCCTCGACACAGAAAGGTCCTCTAATTCCAGTCAATGGAATTAGGGACAATGTAGGGACAACGTACATACTTTGAAAATTGAATCTAGATTACTAGAACTTAGATTTAAAGCAAAGCCTGAAGCAAGGAGTCTGAAGGGTGAAAGCCCCACCCAGTAACCACAGTGTGTCTGTGAGTTAGCAGGGTACCTGGGACAGTCCCATCCTCAGAGGCCTGACTGAGGCACACTGGTCCCACTCCCACATGTACAAGGTGCCAGGATGGTGCCAGTGACCAGAAGGTGCTCAGCTGAGGCCCATGGCCACCAGGAACCCTCATCTGGACTGGAGCCCAGTCCCTGTCCTCTGCCCACCAACACTGATGGTCAGAACTGCTCCCAAAAATCTCACTGGGCCTCGCTAACTCACAACAGAGCCGTGATAGATGCGCATCCCCCCAGACACAGCCCAGAGATGTTTGGGGACCTTCTCACTCTCTACAGCTCCCTGACAGAAGGGTGCAGCCAGGTGGGGGTTAGAGGACAGAGACAGGGAACAAGGGACAGGACAAAAGCAAGCAGCCCCAAGCTGTGCCAGGGAGGTTTAGGCTGACTATTTGGAAAACATTTCCCCTTCATTCCTGGAGGAATGTAAAAGCTGTGTGGATGTGGCACTCAGGGACATGGGTTAGTGATGGCCTTGGCAGTTCTGGGCAAGGATTGGACTCAATGGTCTCAGAGAGCTTTTCCAACCTAAACCATTCTGTGATTCTAGTATGAGTTATCACAGTCAAGGACTCCAAACAGGGGCTTGGAGCCCACAGCCCACAGCAGGAGCCACACGTACCCCCCAGCCACCCCTGCTGCCACAAGCCACAGGCCACTCCCCAAACCACAGCTCCCCAAAAGCCTGGGGAGGACAGGACAGGCCAGTGGCAGAAGCCGTGGCCCAGGCTGAGCTGCAGCTCCTGCCTCTGCCCCGGATTTCCTGCACACTGCAGGGCAAGGCCACAAAGCTGTAATTTTCAAAGCCAATTTTAGACTCCGAAATAGAGCAACACAAACTGGCTCAGTGTGCTGTTCCATGAGCTACACCTGCACAGGCAACCACAGGTGGGGAGCACAGTTAAAGAGCCAGCTCTTACAGACACTAACCCAACGCCTGGCCCCTGCTGCAAAGGGTCTGTGGCGTGGCTGGGAGTCTCCCAGCATCCAAGAGGGCAGTGAGGATGAGTGAGGATGCTGGAACCTCCTTCAAGCACAGGCAAGCGAGCAGCTGAAGGACCTGCCTCTCCTCCAAGCCTGCTGCCTTCCCTTTCTCCAACATAAGAATTATTTTGTGTGCTGACAGGAGGCAACAACAAAACATCATTCCAGTTCCTGGGACCATCCACAAAACCCGAACTACAATTTAGCTGCTTCCTTTATGCCTTACATTCTTCCTAAAACCCACAGTGGCTCACTGAGACAGCAATGGCTTCAAGTTAGCAATTTATTAAAACTCCTGCCATGTTGACAAAGTATGGGGAAGCAGCAGGAAGGATGACTGGCAACAGAGAACACTTACTCTAAAGACAAAGATAAGAGCTCCCATCCAGACACTGCTTCTTCATCCAACCTCCATCCAGGACAATGCAGCACAGGCTGTAATTAAGTTCACTGTCACAGCACATAATTAAATCCCACACTGGGGAATAACCCAGCACCCTTATTTTGGACACAGCAATGCTCTGTCTCAAACATGTAATTTCCTGTATCCCATTCCTGGAAGAAGCATCACACTTCCTTCCTTCAGCCACGGCAGAAGGTTGGAGTGGAGCCAACACCTGCCTGGCAGTGGGTCCCTCACCCTGGGTGTGAGTGTGGCAGGACACACCGTGAGGTTCGTGGTGACAGACTCGCCCTGACAGCAGAGCGAGCCAGCTCTCACAGGGACACATCTCAGCATCTCCACTTGCTGCTGCCTCTCAGCACCGTCAGCACGCTTGCCTTGATCCTCTCCTGCATCGGGAACGTGACTCACACTGGGAGCTCCAGGGAAATCTGCCCAGCTGGGTTTTCTCCTCCTGCTTTCCTCACAGAGTGGTTTGGGTTGGAAGGGTTCCCAGCCGGACACGAGAGGAGGCGAGCTGGAGCTGCTGCTGCGGGCCGGGGGGAGGACACTTGGGTGGAGAGGACAAACCACACTGCCCGTTCAGTGATAGTGACCCCTCCTGTGCCAGGTTCAGCGATGGTGACCCCTCCTGTGCCAGGTTCAGTGATAGTGACCCCACCTGTGCCAGGTTCAGTGATAGTGACCCCACCGAGCCAGGCTCAGACAGGGAAGCCGAGGGAGCGGCAGCTCAGCACCCCAGCTCAGCACCCCGCTCTTTCCAGGCAGATTACCGCTTGCTGAGCAATTGCCCCCTAGTTATGCTCATCCTGTACCGTGAGCCCGGCCGCCCTCCCCAGGCTTGTTTACATTTACATAATGAAGGCAGGAAACACAAAACCTCCGGCCTCCTTTCGGCCTCCTTTCGTCCCCGCAGCGTGTCACAGGCCATTAATAAACTCTAGATGGGAAGAATTCAAAGTGACATTTCTGGAAATAATGTTACTCTCATTTACCATCAGAGAGCAATCCAGCACACCCAGCAGCTGAACCACAACTGGGGGAGTTTTAACCCTTCTGGAGCTGGGTTATCTGCCAGCAGCCTGGCCCCCCTGGAGGAGGGCTTGGAGCACTTTACCCACCACACTCAAACCCAGTCAAAGATCCCTCCTCTGAGCAGCTTCACATGCTGCAAGGCTGGAGCTCCAAAATCCACTCACCAGCATGCTCCTACTTCCACATAGGTGCCCCAGGTTCCCCCTGAGCACTGCTGTGAAGTGGGAAGTGCAGCCTCAGCAGCCTTCAGACAGGCCATAGGTTGAGAAAAATAAATAACCTGAATATGCCCAAAAGTGGCAGCCTCCCTGTCCATGTGAAAGGCAAACGCTGACACAAAATAAGTCTTTTCTCTGATTTAGCTGAACATTATTTCCAGGGACAGGTAAGTCCAAGGAACGAACAGTGAAATCACAGATGCCCACAGCTGTAAAGGTTCCTCTGGATGCAAAGCAGGTGCTGACTCTGGCAGGCTGCAGAGTCACACAGCTCTGCTGGCAGGAGATGGAGCAGGGAGAAACAAGGAGCAACCATTTCTATTGAATTTAAGTGTTGAGCCTTAGAAGTTAAAATTTAAGTTCAAAAATGAGGGGAGATGAAAGAACACCAAACACAAAGAAATAATTCTGCTGAATGGATGAAATACTTCACCATCCCCTGGCTGAGGATTGACATACAACAGGAGAAGACTCAAAACACTCAATATATGTCCTTGTTTGCAAGCTGGCTGAATTTGTCCTGTGTTTACAAATGAGACACAGCATCCACAGATATGGGCAGGGAAAGCAGAAGCACAGTTTAAATATAAATCTCAAAAACCAGTTCAGAAAAAATGCAAATGGGAGGAACATTTTGAGACAGAACTGGACTAACCGACATCTACCAAGTATCGCCATTTCTGGAGGGCAGGAGAACAAGAAAAGGGATGATATCCCATACCAAATCAGCCAACACAAACCCGACCTTGCAGTTTCATTTCTAGGTCAGATCTATAAACTAGAGGAAACTGGCCATAAAAATATCACATGAAATTTATTCTCCAGTCAGGCTGAATTTTCAAGATAAGCTCTGATTATGAGCCTTCTCCCCTTGGAGAGAAGGAGCCCTGTGGCTCACCCTGCTCCTCACTGCAGTCCCCAGCTGCCCCTGAGGAAAACAAGGCTACAAAGCCTCCACTCTGCTGGGACTCTTTGTGCTCTTACCACACTCCTCACCTTCAATGAACAGTTCTGGTCCACCTGACTGTGTGATTCTCAAAAGTCTCTGATGCTCCTTTTTAATTTGGTCATCATTAATAATTCTGTATCATCAGCAGATTTTGTCATCTTACTATTCAGACTTTTTCCAAATAATTTATTAGGAACTGCACTGGAATCCTCCTTCCCTTTTTTCCTGCTTTTTAACTAATCATTAATCCAGAAAACAACCCCTCTCTACTTTTCAACAGCTCTTCAAGAATTTCAGCGAAGGCCCTTTTCCAGTGAAGGCCCTACAACCAGCTAATGACATGATCTCTGGCTCCTGGAAATACCTCCACCGAATTTCTGAGGCATGACTCTTGCCTTCAGGAAGCACAGTGACTCCTGTACCTGCCTCACAGCTGTCATCCTGCTCCTGAGCAAGGTTCCACCCAACAAGCCTGTTCTGACCTGTGCTCTGAAGCCCTCCAAAGAGCCTTGGAAAAAAGTCAGCCTGTTTCCACCTCTCATTTCTCTGGCACTGACACTTCGAGCACCAGGTCACACCTCACTCGAGATCTAGACTTGACAGGTCTAGATCTCGGTTTCTTTAAAAGTCTAGGGTAAATACCACCTGGAAAGACTTTTAGTGATAGTCTCTTTCAAGACTTGCTCTGCAACATTTGTGACAGTTCTGTTTCAGACTAAAATGAAGCACGGCTGCGCAGTTACCTTTTTGAAGAGCCTGATGACATCCTCGCTGATCTGCGACAGCCGGACGATGACATTGTTCATGAAGATGTCGTTCAGGGTGGCGTGGTCTCGGCTCTCCCGACGGGTCTGCGTCAGAACCAGGTACCAGCAGTTCACAGGGGACAGGAGGTGCTGATCTTTCCTAGAGAATTGTGGAAAAGAAAAATCAAAAAGGTCAGGTGAACACCTCAAAAAGGCACACATTTCCAAAGGAACACTGTCAGGGCATCGCCTCCCTCCTGAGCCCACAGTCACTGGGATTCAGGGCGTGATCTCTTCTTCCATCTGTACCAGCACTGCTGTCCAGGGGCACACAGGCACCTGTACCACCCCAGGCCCCCAGCCAGCCCCTTCCCAAACTGGGTGCTCTGAAAGATGGCACAGAAGAGACCTCCCTGGAAAGGGAGAGAGTTTCGCTAATTCTTTCCACTCGCAGTACGAATACGGCTGTCACTCCGCTGCAGAAGGGCCCTTCGCCACCCAAGACACTGTGCTGGTTTCAGTGCACTAAGAAGTGCTCCTGAAAGGGTTCTGCATCCAACAGTACCTCAGAGTGTCTGTGCACAACATGAACACACTCAGGTATGCTGCAGGGGACAGTGGAGATGCAGACCCCCGTGCACACACACACAGACAGAACAACTGCCTGCAGACACCAGGACGAGCCTGTGGCTCCACAGACAGAACAAGTGCCCGCAGACACCGGGACGAGCCCGTGGCTCCACAGACAGAACAACTGCCCTCAGACACCAGGACGAGCCCGTGGCCCGGGAGCCACGGCGACTGCCAGAGCAGGGCTGGGCACAGCTGCACACAGCTATACGGGACAAAGGAGCACTGAAGGCACCGTGACTCTTGAGAGTGTCACAGCCTCATCAGAATAATGACACACATGAGCAGCTGGGGCAGTGGTGCAGATGAGCCTGGTAAGGGCAGGTACGGAGCAGTCTGGAAGATAAAAATGAATTAAGAGAGTCTCTGGACATGGAATGAAAAGTGAGGACTCAGCAGGAGAGAGCACTGAAATCAAGCTGACCTGATTAACACCACCAACACCAGCACTTGTGCCCAGGTCCTTTACAACAGTAGAGAGCCACTCGCCACCTGTGGACGCTGCACAGCAGCAGCTTCTAGAATTGTAATCAGTGCAAAGTTCTAATACTGCTCTGAGCTAATGGGTGAGGCCAGACATCCCCAGAACCTCTGTGGGCTCCATCTCTGAACCACAGCTCCTTACTGGCCAATTCCTTGGTGCACAGTACAGACCCAGCACCACACAACCAACCCCAACAGCCAGATGCCAAAAGGACTGAGAGGATCTGAATAGCAACTCATCATCAGCAGAGCTTGGCATAAGGCAGCAGTAAAGCCTCACACCACAGAGACCGAGTAAACAGATTAAATGAGATTTAGTAATATGGAATAAATAGGATTTAGTAATTTAACAGCAAAAATCACTGCTCTTGCAGCTGAAACGGGAAAAAAATCACCAGGGGTTAGAGGAAGAAACAGACTGTGAAGAGCCTGGGGCTGGCGAGGAGAAGGGCAGCAAGCAGGCAAAGCCCAGGCTCTCTGTGAAAGGCACTGAACAGCAGCTGCAGCCTTTGGCCACTGAACTGAATGACATGAGTTTCATCTGGAACAAAAGGCACAATTCCAGCTGAGAGACTTTCACAGAGACTGCTGGCAGAAGAAGAGACAGGCACAAACACTGTGGCCCAGGGAGGCAAAGGTGCCGAGCTCGGGCTCAGGTGCTGCAAGGAGAGCAGCCAGGACCAGCACCTGGCTCCATGCTGCTGGTGCTGCCACATGGTCCCTGGGCACGGATTGTGCTGGGCACAGGGCACAGCTCCTGCTGGGCACAGGGCACACATCCTGCCGGGCACCAAGCGTGGCCCTGCAGAGCCCAGCCGGACCCCTCTGGCCTGGCACACTCGGGGAGCAGGACCAGCCCCCGCTGCAATGGCCAGTGGCCTCCATGGGGCCTTGTGCCAGCAAAACGGCACCAGCCAGTACCCTCACCACACAGCAGTCACCTCCTAAATGAAATTCTGAGTCAAGGTTGTTTTGCTTCTATTTTTTCCAGTTGTTTTCTGGTTTAGAGCTCACAAGTGTGGTTAAACTGAAAAGAAGATGCTTTTGAAAACACATATTTACATATTCATGGATTTCACAATTGCATCACTGGTTTGATTCTCACACAATCCCAGGACTCAGTTCATATTTCCTACTTCAAATCTTTGTTTCACAATATTTCCACTAAGGATCTGCCTCCCTCCAACATCATACAGCTAAGCACAGAAAAAGCACATATTTTATTGCAAGTAAAGTGCAGTAAACTCCATTTCCAGAAACTGTTTCCAACTCTGAGCCTGCCAGTGAGCCTGCCTGAAGTACATAGAACCTCGACAGCTGATGACTGGGCTACACACAAAAACCAGGGCTATACACCAGGCCCACCACTATTTGCACAATCCAATCAGTGGCTGAATTCAAGACCCTTCAAACAACCAAGGGGTTTGACTCCTTCCTAGTCCCCAATTCCTATTTTTATTGCATTGCTCAAGAAGTGCACAGTAAGTGTAACTCAGCACAGATCAGCGATGCTGTGGTGGAAGTCTTGGAAAGACACAGGTCCAGTTCCTCTGTGAGCCCCACGCAGGGATGAGACAGACGAGCTCCCCGCTGACCTGATGGACTTTACTCTGCTTTAGGACCAACCTCCAGTGCTCACAGCAGCCTCTGCCCATCCTTTTGCACCACTGTGCCCCTGGAACACCCACTTACTTGAACTGGTGCTCTCTGGAGCTGCGGATCTTGGAGGAGAAGCGCTCAGCCAGCTTCTCCAGGCTGCGGGAGTACTCCAGCTCGATCTCGGCCTTCCTGCGGAAGAACTCCTGCAGGTCCTGCAGCAGCTGCAGGCGCGACTCCGACTGCTGCTCCAGGCATTTGAACTGCTCCACCAGCTGCGTTCGGATTTCTGCAGGCACACGGGACAGGAGCAAGAACAAAAGACATCAGCTACAGACACTGCCCAGGAGGGTTCTCCTCCCTCGTCCCAGAGCAAACAGCACAGCTCTGCTGGAGCTCCCTCCAAGCCCTGGGGTGAATTCAGGGCTCAGTAAGGCCAAAGGATCTGCTTCCTGAGAGACAGCAGAACAGAGCCATCTACCAGCCTCACATTAAACCTTATTCTGTCAAAACAAATGGTCTTGCAACACTGAGACCAACCTCAGAGTTTTCAACTGCCTTTTGAAACCATACTTCTATCTATCTGGTACTACCTGGACTCACACAGTATTCTCATATAAACTAACATTTTATTTATTGATAAATGTCCATGTGAATACCTTCAAGATGGCCAGCACTGACCTTAAGGAAGATGGCACTGCCATGCACCCTTCTCTCACCCCATCCCCCTGCACTGCCAGGCTTAACAACAAATCCAACCCAGTTTTAGCTCAAAGGCTTAAAAAGTCTTTCACACCCTCCAAATCCCAGCTCACGTGGGAAGTTCAGGATGGGTTATTAAATAAACCCAACTCTACACAGGCAAACACTGGTGCAAAGCGGCAGCGGAAAGCCCTGGGTAAAGACTTGCAGAGGCTGGAGCCTGCAGTGAACAGGAGAGGCCAGGGGAGCCAGGCGTGCTCAGCCAGCACAGGCTGCCCGGCAGCTGCAGACCAGAGCACCCTGCTCCTCCTCCTCCTCCTCCTGCAGGAGATGTGGGTTTTGGCACAGTGCCGGGGCCAGAGCCCGCTCTGGCTGCTCAGACAGGGACACACAAAAGCAGAGGTTTCTCCAGCAACGCTGGGACGGAGCTGCGGAGCCCTGCCCTTGTGCTGCGGGGAGCAGGACAGAGCCCTGCTGCCAAGTGCCAGCACACAGCCCCGGCTGCAGCACCCAGCCCGGCCGGGCCGCTCCACCGCGCTGAATAACCCGAATTATCCACCCCGGAGCACAGCCTGCCAGGGATCCTCCTGCGGGCAGCCTGAGACAGCCGCTCCTCCAGCATATGCTTCACCCCACTGATTTGTGACAAGTGAGAAAATATGCCTGGCAACAAAAGCCATTATTTTCTCACAACTGGGATGAGACCCAATAGTCCATTGCAAATATAGCACAGCAAGCTGGACTCAGGGAGGATCCAATGCTTACACAAATACAGAATACACTAACAAGGCCATTTGACTCTCAGTTGTTTTTATGCCCGCTTCAGCCCTCTTCACAACAGAAATACCTCGGATATATTTTCCAGAGCTTTGTCATCCCACGTTTGACCAGCACACACCGTTTCCCCAGGGACAGCTCTCGCACACACAGAGCTAATGCAGCTGGAGCCCAGATCCATCACGGAACACCAGGCAGCTGTTCCAGCTGGAAAAGCCCAGCTGTGGGCAGGTGATGCCAGCACAGCCCAGGAGCGGCCGGGCTCTCTGCAGTGCCAGGAGCCAGGCTCGGTCCCGGGCAGGGCAGCTCTGGGAGCCCACGCGTGTCCGTGGGCAGCTCTGGGAGCCCACGCGTGTCCGTGGGACGCTCTGGGAGCCCACGCGTGTCCGTGGGCAGCTCTGGGAGCCCACGCGTGTCCGTGGGCAGCTCTGGGAGCCCACGCGTGTCCGTGGGACGCTCCGGGAGCCCACGCGTGTCCGTGGGCAGCTCTGGGAGCCCACGCGTGTCCGTGGGCAGCTCTGGGAGCCCACGCGTGTCCGTGGGACGCTCTGGGAGCCCACGCGTGTCCGTGGGACGCTCTGGGAGCCCACGCGTGTCCGTGGGACGCTCTGGGAGCCCACGCGTGTCCGTGGGATGCTCTGGGAGCCCACGCGTGTCCGTGGGACGCTCTGGGAGCCCACGCGTGTCCGTGGGCAGCTCTGGGAGCCCACGCATGTCCGTGGGCAGCTCTGGGAGCCCACGCGTGTCCGTGGGACGCTCTGGGAGCCCACGCGTGTCCGTGGGACGCTCCCGCTGCCAGCACCTCTGGCACTGCTCTCCCGACACAGGGCTGGATGCAAGGGATGGGCTGCCAGAGGACCATCCACCTTCCTGCGAGGGCTGCAGCCAGGAGAGGCTTTGTGGGGTCCCAGCGGTGACACACTGAACCTGAACAGTCACGGAGCTGCAGGGCCCACAGCCTGGAGCATCTGCAGACAGAAATGCCAGGTTGCTTCCATGCGCTGTGCAGTCCCGTGGAGATGCCAGAGGGGACCTGCAGTGAAAGCAAACAGCCCAAAGCTGCCCAAGCCTCCCCTCTCCTTCCTTCCCTGTGATTAGTAACAGCACTGCCTAGACAAAGACAAGAGATACAGATTCTGGTAAAACAAAGAACAAGACAAGTCTTTTATCTGAAATGAGTGTTCCTGGTTAAAAAACAAAACAAAACAAAAAAAAAAGAGATAGAGAAAGGAAAACACTTCTCTCCAGTATGAAAACAACTCCTGTGGCACTGGCACTTTTCAGGTTTTTGCCCCAGTTTTCCCTTGTACCCACATCAAGCCCCCACACTGCAACTTGCTGGGCTGTGAGGCAACAACTGCAATCACTCAGAAGGGAAGTGAAAGTGTAAGATAATGTATCTTGAACCCATGACTTCTCTCCTGGGAAACCCCTGCCCTGGAGCAGCCCCTCACTTATTGCAAAGGGCAAAGGAAGATGACAACAGCCCCTCAATGTCCAAGAACAAATATCAAGCTGATATGGTGACAAAGAGGCCTTGAAATGATTAATAATAAGCTAAGCAAGCACAAGAACAAGGTGGCAAAGCTCTGCCACCGACAGGCACAGCAGCAGCAGGTCCCACACGCTGTTCCTCACACGGTCCCCTTCCCTCTCCTGTCCTTGCACACGATGGTGGCCACTCCTGCTGCCAAGGCGGTGGCATCTGTCAAATACTTTAATACTCTAAATCCACAGGAACTACTGACAGCAGCTTTCCCTTAAAAACTGTCTCTGAATGCAGACCTCAAAGCAGCCAGTCTGGCTCGTGAGGAGGCAGCAGGGAACAAGTGTTTTGGGTGAAGCAGAGCACCCAGCTCCCTCCCCCGGCAGCACTGCCTGCACAACAGCCCCTGCTCCTGGGACACAGGGATCCAAAAACCAGCCAAAGGAATCCAAACAGTGGTTCCTGCTACCTCCAGCTGAGCCTCAAGGCCAAACTTCCCAAGATCAAGAGTGAGAACAGATATAACGGTGTGTTGCAATTATGTCCAATTTAAGAACAGAAACTGCAGTTCAGACCACACATCATGTGTGCCAGATGGGGAGAGCTGGCCAGAGGGTGCCCAGATCAGGCACCAACGCCAACCCCAGCTTCCCTGGCTCTGGGAACAGCTGGGCAGCTCCTCTCCAGGTTCTCTCTCATCTCCTGGACAATGTTGCCCAGGGATGCCATGGTCCTTCCTCTCTGACACTAAGGAGAAAGCAAACCTGCTTGCAGAAGAAATCCTCACTTGGCAAGGGAGCTGGTTTGTTCCCTCTGCACCAGTCACAGAAATGAGCCAGACTGACCCAAAGTGGTTCTTGTGCCTGCCTCTCTCCGTGAAGAGGCATGAGCAGAGCTGGAGCCTGGCAGCAGGTATTGACCCACGTCCCTGTCAGACGCTGGAGATGGGGCTGATCCTCACTTTGGAGTTGTGGCTTACCACAGGAGTCGCCGCTGGGACCAGACAAGCTTTGGGGGGCTAAATTTAGGCAGCAGAAGTGCATATTTTCGTTTTTCTCCTGCCTGGCACAGAGCACAGCCAGCCCCGCTGGCGGTGCCCCACCCTGGACCTCTGCATGGCCCCTGCCAGAGGTGCAGGGCACAGGAGAGCGAAGGCACAGGCTGGCACCGCTCCACACTGCATCCTCCAGCCCTGACAGCTCCAGAGCCTCTCCAGATCTCTGCTGCACTCAGTCCTCGCCTGCTTCACTCGGGTCAGCAGAGAGCCCTGTGCCAGCCTGGGCTGGCAGGGACCGGCACAGGGACACGGCACCGGGACACAGGGGCACAGGGACACAGGGACACCAGCCCCAGCCCGGGTGCAGCATCTCCTGCTCCTTTTCCCTCAGCCCCTGGCACCTCCACGTTTCCTTGGGAACACAGACTTGTCCACTTGTAATTCACAGCCTGAACTGGTCACATCTGCTGCCACTTTTGTCTGACTGCGAGCAGCACCGAGGGAGTAAATCTCATTTACTGTCCTCACACCCGGTTGTCTGGCTATGTGGCCCTGCACTGATCATGCTGATCAATGGGAAGGAGAATTTACAGGACTGAAGGTGGAGCAAGAGCCCAGAAATGCTCATTAAAAAAGACTTGGAGGATGTTTGGGTTAGTTTTGTTGTCTGGGGTTTGAATTTCGGTTTGTTTGTTTGTTTTGGGGTTTTTGGTTTTACATTAAAGAAGCCAAACTTTAAAGAGGTCCACCCCAATCTCGGGCATTCCAAGATTCCTGGCACTCCCCTGCTTGCTGCCTGTGTCTTTTGGGGAACCCCTGGTGCCCCTCAGCCAGCATTTCTGCCCAAGGGAGCTCTGTCCCCAGCTGCTTCCCATGGAACAGAACTGGGAAGGCGGAACAGCTGCCCTTGCTGGGTTAGTGCCTCCTCTGGTTTTGCCTGTTAGGAATACAAGGGATGCAAAAAAGCATCAGAAAGAAAGAACCAAACAGATCTCTTGTATTTGTTCACGATTTAAGAAGAGCAAAGGGAGCTTCACAAAACCAGATGGTGTCTTTTTCCCCCAGAGAAAACAGCTCTTCTGGCTGCCCTCCTGCACAGCCGGCAGAGCTCCGGATCCTGTGCACAGGGAGGCTCCGGGACCGGCTGGAGAAAGGCTCTCAGCTCTGAAATGATGTAACCGGAGCTCTGCGCTTGGGGCTATTGAGATGCAAAGGAGAGTGTATTCAAACTGGAAAAGAAAGAGCTCAACAAGAATGAGAATCCTGCCCTGAGCCACTGAGATGGAATAAAGGAGAAGATCATTAAACGGTTCACTTCAGCACCTCA